CTGTGTAGATACTAGACTATTCCTAATGATATGTGGATACACAATATTCCCCCTCGCAAAGACAACCACTCGGACACTCCTCCAACGTCGATCGACACATGACCTCTAGCACATAGAGAGAGACTGTGTCCAATACCGAATGCACAGGAAGGACTCTACATGGAAAAGGAGCACTGTCAGCTGCCCGAGCCCTAGCCTAGCTAGCCTATTCACACTAGTAGTCTTTTCAAATAACTTCCTACTGTGGTTCTCTGCTTCTCATCCGAGTCCACACGGTGTCTCGCATAGTCTACTGTCTCTACATAACTCCATCGCGAAGCGGATGAGTAGCTGTTCAACTCTGTGGGATACGAATATCCTCTCCAAGATCGTTGCGCATTATACACTATGCCAAACCTGTGATACCAGGTACCAAACAAATATCGACCACTTTGACAGTTTATCCTAACAGCACAACAGGTCTTGAAATAACCGAGGCAACGACTTTCTCTGAAGCAGGGAGTCCATTCTGCTTAGCACCCCTTACAATCTCATAGCGGCGTCGCCAATTATCATTGTTTGTGCAAACCACCTTCACAGCAAATCAAATCTAAATCCAAGCCTCAAGCTCAGGCAACAGAGGTATCAGACTTCCCCAATCTCAAGTCGTCCTGCGACTACATGAAGTATGCATAGCCCACTATTAGAGCCTCACATCATCTAGCATGACATGGGCTAACAAGCTAGCCACAGAACTCTTCAAACTCAATGACCTACCGCACATCCACGATCCTAGGTACCGTAACATGAAACGACCTGCACAAGACGACAAAACAGAATCCGTTCATGCCAACTTAGAGATCCTGAGCCCTTCACCGGATCGACCAACGGGTTTGACTCGGATGACCACACACTTCAGCATCCTTGAGGATGCTCACGTCCCAAGGTTGCACATCCTCAAGCTTGACTTTGACATGCCTTGACCCGCGATATCCGCCTTGACCTCCGCCTCGCTTGCCCTGGAAGATCAATCATGCCGTCGCGGAACGAGCTCGACTAGTCTTGTTTCTCTCAGTAGTTCGTCTTCGTCCCACTCCCACTGGGGACAAAAAACTTCTTCATGGGCAGTGAGGAGTGAGACACTCAGAGGAGGTGCAAATACCACTTCACACAAGACGCGGCGGCTACTACAAACTCCTGTCTGCCCATTGACTGCAGATGCCGTCGTGGCCTCTGAGGTGTAGTTGATTGTGATCTGTCTGTTGTTTTTCAAAGGGAGGACCAGCTTCTGCCTCACTATTCTCGCATCCACAGACATAACAACCAGGCAGAGGAGTGAGCAGAGAGAAAAGAGAACATACACATGAGCTTCAAGAAATGACAACAAAGGGTCTGCGCTTGTTTTAGTTGGGGGGGGGGAAGTGATGTCCAATAGCAATTCCATCTACAGTTGATCTCCAAGGCTCATCCTGGACTTGGAAAGTATAATTCTACTGTATTGTACACCAAGCAAATAGCGTAATCAGTTCCTCGACGCCGAAACATAATTGAAAAGATTTTCCAAGCAAGTCCACTTAGCAGCGAGCACATTCGCAAGTATTCACATAAGTCCACCAATCTTCTACCTACCCAAGTTCACGGATAAGTAACCATACAACCCGAGCCCGGGGCTCTCGGCAGTTTGGCAGATACGATGAAGTAATAGAACCCCAACTCCCGGGCTCGGCAGACCGAAGCGGAAAGAGATAAGGCCAAAGGGGGGAAGGAAAAGATAAGTTACCGACGACCGTACGCAGTGCTCGGTTAAAGATTATCGTCAAATCTTAATCTTGAATCTCCGGATTCCAGAAATTCTCTTTTTCCTTGCTCTAATCTGCTGTCAGAAGTGACATTCGTCTCCCTCCCTTTTCCCCCGCAACCCCGCATCAAACACCACGACCACCATCCACCATTCACCATGGAAACCGATCCCGGATTCATCGCCGCTCTCGAGGAGGCCAAGCAAGGATTGGCCGAGGGAGGTGTCCCCATTGGAGCTGCCCTGGTGTCCAAGGATGGCAAGATCCTCGGTCGCGGTCACAATATGCGCGTCCAGAAGGGCAGCGCCGTTTTGCATGTACGTTTCCGCCTCGAGTTTTTTTCTTTCTTGGTTGGACAAGCTCGTGTATTATTATCAAATTGTCGCGTTGGGTGGTTTTACTGTACTAGCAGCCTGCCCTTGCATGATGACGTAGCTGAGCTGCAGGAGCTTGCGAACTAACTTTCCAATAAATTGCAATTAGGCTGAGATGTCTGCGCTTGAGAACTCGGGTCGGTTGCCTGCTTCGGCCTACGAAGGTGCCACCATGTACACCACCCTGTCGCCATGCGATATGTGCACCGGTGCCTGCATTCTCTACAAGGTGAAGCGCGTCGTGATCGGCGAGAACAAGAACTTCATGGGCGGGGAGGAATACCTTCTCAACCGTGGGAAGGAAGTGGTGGTCTTGGATAACAAAGAGTGCAAGAAGTTGATGGAGGACTTTGTCAAGGACAAGCCGGAGCTCTGGTAAGTTGGAACTTGCTTTTCCATTTTGTCTTTCCATTTTTTTGCAGCATGGTATCATTTCTTTCACCCCTTTTTCTATCACACACTTCCGCCACTTTTTAATTTCTGGTAAGAATTCCCGGTCTGACTATATGAACCCAAACAGGAATGAGGACATTGCCGTCTGAGTCATCGTGAGAAAAGGATTTTGCAGATACGCTGCAGCGGAGATATCCAATATGTATATATAGCCAACAAGAGAGCAAATGAGTCATACCCACATAAAGCGACGATCTTAAGCCGCCGTCAAGCGGTGGATTTCCTCGAAGTAGAATTTGAGGTCATCGGGATTGACGAACGGAGTAATGCCTAATCACCACCAGTATTATTAGTATACGCAAAACTTCAACATCCAGACCGGGATATATCTCACCGTGTCCCAAGTTGGCAATCCAGCCCTTCTTGCCCGGCCAGAAGCCGCGGACCATAGTCTCCACGGCCTCGGTGATGGCCTCGCGGGTACCGTAAAGAACACCCGGATCAGCATTGCCCTGGAGCGTCACACGACCGTTCGCGATCTTCTTGGCCTCGGCGGGATCATGCAGCCAGTCCAGACCGACAACGTTGTAGCCAGACTCGCACAGATCCTCCAAAGCAAACCAAGCCCCCTTGGCGAAGACCGTCATCGGGACAGGTTCCAGACCCATCTCCGTCAACTTCTTGGGGAGATTCTGGGAGATGTAGCGCAGATACGGGAGAGAGAACCGGCTGAAGGCCACGGGCGACATCTCCCCAGCCCAGGAGTCGAACACCTGCACCAGCTGCGCGCCGGCCTCGACCTGAAGCGCCAGGTACTCGACACAGATCTCGGCGATCTTCTGCAGCAGAGCCTTGGACTCCTCGGCGTATCTGTAGATCCACTTCTTCGACTGCACGAAGAGCTTCGTACCTCCACCTTCGACCATGTAGCACAGCAGGGTCCAGGGCGCTCCGCAGAAGCCGATCAAGGGCACCCGGCCGGCCAGCTTGTGGCGGGTGAGCGTGATGGCCTTGTAGACGTAGTCCAGCTCGGCCTTGACGTCCACCTTCTTCTGCATCACCTTCTCGTACTGTCCGTCGTCCGGCGACTGCAGCGGTTGCGGGAAGTGCGGGCCCTTCTTGTCGACCATCTCCACCTGCATGCCCATGGCCTGGGGGATCACCAGGATGTCGGAGAAGATGATGGCGGCATCGATGAGTCCGGCGTACCGCTCAATGGGCTGGAGAGTCAATGTGGACGCAATCTCGGGGCTGCGGCAGCATTCGAAGAAGTCGCGGTTGCCTTTCGCTTCGTGGTATTCGGGGAGGTAACGACCAGCTGTAGCAGAATGAGCCACCCAGGTTAGTGACTGTTACTGCACATTCTTCTTCCAGCCGCAGGTCCTTGATTTGGAGGATGGAGGGGGAATGCGTACCTTGCCGCATGACCCAGATCGGAGGACGAGGAACCTCCTCGCCTAGTGGAGAACTAGTTAGCTTGCTTCGATGATGAGCATGTATTTGCAGTTCAGGCTACCTCTGGCGGCCCTCAGCAGGAGGTCGTTCTTCAATGGTGCAAATTGTTCTGGCATTTTGGTTGCAAAGGTATGTTACAGAAGAGGAAGAGGGGACCTTGGGAAGGAGGGGTTTCCATGACATGCGCAGGTCCTGCCGCTCGGTGCCTCGGGCCGCCAATCGGCTGATCACCGCTGACTACGCGGAGTAAAATTAAGTTACAGTGGGAGTTGAGTAAATTCTCCGCCAAAAGACCCGAGGCTGGATCGCAGGTTCGACATACTCAGGAGCCCCTCTTCAAAATTGCGGGTATAGGGTGAAAACTGTGGTTATGGGGCATGGACAAGAGAATTTGAATTAAATGTTTGATTGCTAGCTATAAAGCTTCCATACACCATGCTGCGGCCACTCCCGTCGTGGAACCTAGACCTCCAGAAATAGATATCCCAATATTCCTAAACTTCTACAAGCGCAACACTCAACCTACACATAGACTTTGGCAAGACACTAAGTCGAGGTGTGGATCGAGAAGCTGGGCTTTACGTCCTACGACGAACCAACGCAGACCTATTTTCAATTGATGTTAGCTTTCAGGTTGTCTCAAGAGCGTGAGTAACAAAAAGTGAAAGGGTAACAGAGGTGTCAGCAAAAAATTAGAGTGTAAGTTGTTGCTGTTTTTGATCTTCAAAGCCGTAGCTACGAGTTAAAAAGGATCATCATCCACCGAAGGAATGTGTGCACGAAAGACAGATTTTAAAAAGAAAAAAGAAAAGAAAAGAAAAGCTCACCTTTGTTGATTCATCATATAATGGAGCGTAGACTACGTTCCATTATGTAGATGAGAGAAGGATCACAACATTCATGACCATGAAAATCATTTCATTCATCCAATCGTCAAGACTGGCAAGAAAGATATCTAAAACATGGTGTGCATGTCACGTTCAAACTAGACGCGAGACGCTTAGTCGAAAAGACCGAAGCCCATGTCCTCGTCAGACTCCTCAGCCTCCTCGGCAGCGGCCTCGGCAGCGGGGGCATCACCGCCAGCAGGGGCAGCGGCGGCAGCGGGAGCGGCAGAAGCGTAAGCGTCAGGGTTGGCGATACGGTCCTTGAGCTCCTCAATCTCGGGCCAGGAGATCTCAGTCTCGATGGCAACAGCGAGAACCTTCTTGTAGCTGTTGACCACGGAGTGGACGACAGAGGGAAGGGTGGGGAAGTTAGCGGCCAAAGAGATGCTGGTGATGGTCTTGATGGCAGCGCTGAAGGCATCGAGGAGCTGGGACTCCTCGATGTCGAGAACCTCGGCACCGAAGGTCTGACCCTGGTCGTAGACCTGGGAGATGGTCATACCGTAGGTGAAGGGAGAGATGTTGAGCATGTTCAACAGGGTGGCCTCGGAGGGGCCGACCTTGGCACCAGCCTCAACGAGCTTCAGATCGGTGGTGATTTCAATGGTACCACGAGCAATCTTGGTGGGGACACCGAGAGCCTGGAAGAAAGAGGTCTTACCGGGTTCCATACCGGTGTTACCAGCGGGAATCCAGACATCAGCGGGGGCAACGGCACCGGCACGAGCGGGAGCAGCGACACGGTTGGCCAGGATCTTCTCCTTGGTGGACTTGAGGTCACCGTTGGTGAAGATGAAACCGACGTTACCTGCGCGACTCAGTCAGCTTCCTAGCTCCTTAACGCAGACGTGTGGATCATGACATACCCTTAACGAAGGGGAGCAGGCGCTCGTACTCCGGGTTGTCGGTGACGAAGCCCTTGATGGCACGGCGGACCTTTGATTACACCATTAATATGCGACGGCCAATTGACGACAGGGGAATGAGAGACAACTTACCATGGTGTTCTTACCCATCAGGACGACACCCTCACCACGCAGAGAGACACGGATCTCGTGCATCTGCTGGGAGCTGACATTGTCGACACCGACAATGAAGACGGTCTTGTACTCATCGAGAAGGGCCTTGAGCTTCTCGAAGTAAGCGGCCTTGGTAGCAGACTTGCCCCCCATTTCTCCTTATTTCGCTGAAGAAAGGCTGTTTAAGGGCAAGGGAATATTTGTTGAAGTTGTTGTTGTCCGAATAAATCGAAACGTTGAAGGATCGAAGAAACAATCGCGCCGCGGATTTTAGGAAATCTTTACTCGGTTGTGGCCTCGCTAGCCGATATGTCACGTGGGCCCCGCTCTGCGCTTAGCTCCAGCTCCTGCTTGGAGTAGGCGGTGTCGCATGCGGTGTCGCACTCGCGGGCGGTGAGAGGCTTTTTTTTTTCTGCCTTGTGCCTATTCCATCTATCGAATCGCAAGTGGGGGCAAAGGTTGCTTTCTGCGATTGCTACTTGCGATATCCATTATTATCGGGGCCGAACCACCATCCTTGAGCTCCAATCAAAGCGGTACACCATGGCTCTCAACTTCCAATACCCCTTTCAATGCATTCAGTTTGTGGAGAGGCCGCAGGCTAAGCTTCTGCTTGCCTCCGCTGGCCCACGGCTGTACTCTTACTCTGCCGAGACCGGCCAACGACTTGCGAGCTGGCCACAAGATACCAGCTCAAGTGACCAAGAACCCCCAGAGAAGAAAAGAAAGGTCTCTACGGCGGAGGGCGGCTCTGTGGAAGAGTCCGAGACCGCAGAGAAGACCGAGAAGTCGAAGGCCCCGCCTGCTTGGTCGAACATTCCCATTGTCACTAGCACATCGAACGGCGAATATGTTATTGCTGTCACAGGAGAAGACAAGTGTATCCGCGTCTTCCAGGTCCAAGATGATGGTTCATTCCAACAACTCAGCGAGAGGTAAGCGTGGCCAATGATACGTTCCAACGAACTGAGCGCGCTCGTCGTTGTATACTAACGCTGCCCCCGCAGAATTATGCCCAAGCGACCATCCTCTATAGCATTGACTAGCGATGAGACCACAATCCTATGCGCCGACAAATTCGGAGACGTTCACTCTCTACCCCTCATCCCCAGTAATGAAAAGCCCGCCGTTGCTCCCAGACCAAACAGAGAGGCGAAACTCAGCCATCCTGCCGCAACCAACCTGACCGTGCACACAAAGGGCAATCTGAGAGCTTTGGAACAGCAACTTGAACTCGCCAAGAAGAAAAAGGAAGCAGGGGAGGAGAAGTCCGGCCCCTCGTTCGAACACCACCTCCTGCTCGGCCACGTCTCGCTGCTCACCGACATGCTCTTCGTATCTCTCCCTTCCGACACCCACAAGCGTACCTATATCCTGACCGCCGACCGCGACGAACACATCCGTGTCTCCCGTGGCCCACCCCAGGCGCATGTCATCGAAAACTACTGCTTGGGTCATACAGCCTTCATCAGCAAGATCTGCGTGCCGCGGGACGCTCCCGAGTACCTGATCTCCGGCGGAGGCGACAACTACCTGATGGTCTGGAACTGGACCGAGGGCCGTGCTCTCCATAAGGTTCCCTTGGTCGAGGACTCATCCGCCGCTGAGGTGGTCGTCCGCGGAATCTGGGCCACGACACTCGGGGACCTGCGACTCATTCTTGTTGCGCTTGATGGGTAAGTCCATTTGATCTAAACAACAATAACCGCAGAAACCGAGAACGATCAGCCACTAATCCTCAATCATCCTCAGATCCTCCCAACTCCAATGCTTCACCCTCGAAGCCGACGGCTCCCTCAAGCCCCAAACCCCCCTCGACCTCACCGGCAATGTCCTCGCCGTGACCAGCATCGAGAAGGACAACACGCTGCTCATCTCCGTCGACTCCGTCCGCACCGCGGGCTCGACTAACGAGTGGCGCGCAAGCCCCTCTGCCCCTTCCATTTTGCTCGAGGCCTTCCGTCTCCAGCAGGGCACCGAAGGCTCGCTGGGCTGGGAACCGACCCTGCAGTCCGCGACCGGCGCTATCAACGCCGTGGGTACGTTGGAAATCGCGGCTACCACCGAAGACAAGAAGCGGGGTGAGCTGAATGATCTATTGTATGCCATGAGCAAGCTTCGCAAGACGCCGAGAGGCGGGGAGGACGAGTAGACGAAGTCATCAAAATGAACCAATGTATACCTTTTGTGAACGTACGCGAGTAAACTCTTGTGCACATCACAAACGATTATGTAATTGTACATAGTTATTCTTAGATATTGACATATTCCGTGTAACAGGCCTTGTCAGGGATACGACGATAATCAGACGTTGCTACCAGTAAGAAACTCTTCCGGTGTCGTACTGAAAGCTCCTGCAGTTTCCTGTGTTGAGAGTGTTCGTCGTAGGTGGGGCTATCTACACATCTTTGCTACGAACCCTCCAACTCATGTATTCTGCGAAAAGCCCGTCGCAGAATTAGACTACTTGAAGCGGCCACATTATACCATCTCTAACCAACCCCAACCATGCCCTTGATTCATCTCAGAGGGTTCCAACCCATTTCTGATCTCACCCACATGTGAGACCGTTGAAATCGTGAAACACCTCTTTATGGAATCCGCCGCGGGCCAAACATCCCACATTTTCTTCGCCCACTTCGCCCACCCCTACCCCCAAAAACAGGAGAATGAGAAGATCAATAGAAAATAGACAAAGAAATTTAAACTCGCTATTGACAGACGGCTAGCTCAGAGCCAAGAGCCACACTGTATCTAGTTCGGGCACATGGGCATAGATAGCTTTTAATCCCAGCTGCCACGCAGAGTCAACCACAGGGCACACGGCACAAGCTATGAACACGATCATGGACAGCATACTCTTCTCGTGAGAATCCATCTATCCACAGCAAAGTTGAACGAATCCCATACAGTAATTTACCACTACCGACCAACCACAAGAAGCAACCACCATGCTAGGCAAGTAGGCAAAACAGCCTGGAGGCATTCCAAACGGGAGTAAAAGAGATTATATTCATATTTACAGAAAGTACATCCCACCCGCAACACACACCTAGAACAAAAGACTATCACCCGTCATCCCCACTTCGGCCAAACCTACCGCCAAATCCACCCAGATCACGGCGGAAGAACTTGCCGATGTTCTTCAGATTTTCGTTCAGGTTCGCAGTGGCGCTGCTCTCCGCGCCGGGGTTGCTCGGGGCCGAACCTGTGGGGTTGGGCGTTGAGGAGGCCGAGGTGAGGATGGCTCCGCTGCCGCCACCACCAACACCGGATGTTGCGCCTGCGCCGCCTCCTCCGGGTATCGTGGTTGCCGAGGAGCCGCTCATGGGAGTTCCGAAGCGGTCGACACCGTCCTTGGCGGCGGAGATGAGGGCGGAGCCGAGCAGGGATGCGTCGAAGCGGGTGGGGAGGTTCGTGGCGCCGATGGACGCGGCGGCCGAGCCGAGTCCCAAGCCCTGGGAGACCGAGGTGGAGGTGGGCGCAGTGGTGGATTGCAGGGCGGTCAGCATGGGGTTACTCTGCTGCAGGTTGGAGGCGTAGCGATCGGATGCGCGGTGGATCTGGAAGAGTTCCAGGAGGTGATTCTGTTCCTGGCGGCTGCGGATGCCCTTCATGTCAAGGATCTTGCGGAAGTTGGTGTTGTTCTGGTCGGCGATGTGGACGAGGTACGCCTGCACGAGGGCCTCGGGGGGTGAAGGGTGCACCTGCAGGGTCTTGAGGAGGGCTTCAATCTTAGCGAAACTGCTGTTGACGCGCTTGACGAAGCCGGCGGGGGCGGGATTTGGGAGAAGTGATGAAAGACCGGCTTTGAGGGCGTAGGCATCGAGGAGCATCTAGACACAGGTGATTAGTTTGGGAGAGGCAGCGGGACGTAGACGGTGATCGAGAATAGTTTACCTGCTCCGCTCCAGTCTCTGCAATAGGCTTGGACTGGAAGATGTTGGTGGTGAAAAGGTTTGAGATCAGCTCTACAGTGTGGTCTGCAAAAGCCCGCGCGTATTGCTGTTTGTGTAGTAGTTGTAGAGTTTCCGAGCACTTGGTCTGAGTCTTTGACAAGAGTTCGCCCACGTAGGAGCTCTGGTCGCTGACATTTTCCAACCGACTCCAGGGTATATTGCGCATTTCGCGCCAACAAGGTTCCAAGTCGATCTCAACCCTCCGTACAAGACCTCGAACGGTTGCAGACGCGATGCCCATGAATGTGTCCGCCTGGCTCTGCAGGTCCACGGACTGTTTCAAATTCTTATCCAGCCTCCCCTTAATCTTCTCCTCTAACTGGTTACAGGTCGTGTAGCAGTAATCGGCAGTGTTGAGAACCAGGATGAGATCCTCGAGGTTGGGTACCTTCGATGGTGTGTGACCACTGGGACGTTCACTGATGTAGTAGAGAAGTACCTGTTGTGCGTATTGGTCCAGGTACTTTGCAAAGACCTTCGCCAGGTCTGCAAGGCTTCCGCCGGTGGACAATTTCGCACATTGCTGTAAAGCATGTCGGTAGAAGTTGAACAGATCCGTCGAGGAGGATATCACTATGTGAGAGTCGAACTCTTCGTCCGGCGGCTTAATCGGCTGCTGCCGGTACTTGGGTATCAGTGCAGCCAGTTGCTTTTCTTGAGCCTCGACCCAGACGCTGAGATAGGGCTCAAAAGCCTCCGATATAGCCTGGCCAAACACCGGCGCCTCGCTCGAGGCGAAGGTATCAGTAGAGGGACGAGCGGGGCTCACAAAGCGTCGCTCAAGCGAATGTTCGAAATCCAAGGTTTCTTGCAAACACGACAGGAGCAGATTGACGTCGATCGATTGCCCATTGCGCACCGAGCGCGAGAGGATGCCCTTGAAGTCGTCCCTCGTTCCTTCACAGAAGATATTGGTGAGTGTCTCATTAACCTTCCAAGACGCGGGGAAGATGGGCGCGTATTCCTCATCATAAATCTTCAGAATACGTCTGAACCACGCATACCGCCGCGATATGTTGTCCAGAGATCCTGCCTCCTCGTTATTTCTGAACACCTGACGGTACTCCCGCAGTTGGAAATTGCAGTACCAGGTCACGAGCCTAGATTTGGCGTGTTCGCCCAGCGCATCCATGACCAAGCAACCCTCCGAGAGCGTCGACCTGCGCAGCCCAACCTCCCCCTTGGCGAACGCCAGCTCGAAATCTTCACAAACTTGTTCCAGGAGCTCCCTTTGTATATCTGCCACGTTCTTGCTGAGGAGAGCGATCTGATCGATCGACCGGTACGATTTGAAATGCGCCATGAGCTGAATGACCGCCTGCAGCAGCTGGGCGCAGTCCCGGTATTGCCTGGTCCGACTGAGGGCGCGAAGCTGATCGTAGGCCGTTGTCAGCATCTGCAGCCGCTTCAGGGCTGTCATGGATAGTGTGAGGTTCTTCTTCGCGTTGTCCAATTGTTTGATATCCGCCGTCATCTCCGTGATCGCGAGCTCGGTCTTGGAAGCGCGGTCGCGCACATCGTCGATCTTTTTAAACAGTTCGGTCAGGTCCGCTTTGGCGGCCTGGATGCGCTCAACACTTTCCGCATTCGAGGTGACCTGGTCCTCGACCAGGGCGCTGATATCGTCGTCGAGCTCATCTTCGTATGCGGAGAGGGACTGGGACACTTGTGACACGGCGGACAGCGTGGAAGGATGGGAGAAGATTGAGTTAAGATGGTCGATAGGATCGTAATCCGCTAGTGCAACAGATTGATCAGTGATTGTGCTTCATAGGACGCAGGACTGAGGGTTGTCAGCCAAGTCCGCTCACCTGCATCTAAGGGGTCGATATCGGCCGCTCCATTGGAGGGCATTGGGGCGGTGGTAGTGGTAGTAGTGGTGAACATTCCATTAGCTCTTTAATATAAACACCAAACACATGCTGCAATACCAGCTTGAACGCAGTCGCCGATTCAACATGCACACCACATTCAAAGAAGTACAGGGGGGAGGAAGAACAAAGAGAGCTAGTTAGTTGTTATGGAGTAGGATGGGATGATCAGCTCCAAACGATTGGGGGGGGGAAGCGGGAGGCGGGAAGCGGGGAGTTGGTTCGGAGAAGCTCACAAAGGGCGGGCGGGAGTCCGGCAAGGTTGTCCAGCACTCCGGGCTCAATCAACACCATGGACTTTGTTGAAATTCTTGTCTTGTTACTCCAACAATCTACAATATTTATTGAAGCTTTCATTTTCTTCGCTTACAGCGATTGACAGGTGAAAAGTGTGTGGATTTTAATTAATCTGCCTAGGGGGTATTGTTCTCCAATCACCAGGCTCTTTATTTATGGACATAATATTCGTAGTCTTGGTTGATACATAACAGGATAAGATGGAAAGAAAAACTAGATTCAGTATTTGAGTCTTCAGCCCGGTTTGCCATTCGCCCGAGCCATGCAATAAGAAGCAGCAAAAACAGACCACGTCAAAGTAAGACAAAATTGTAACTCCAAGCAAACACCGTTGGGATCTAGCAAAGTGTGATTTGAACCCGCCGTTCTGTCGTTGGCGAGCGGCGATGCCGAGTGTTTAGACTGTTCCGGCTAGGAAGGCTTCAGGGGGCAACGTTCCCTGTTCCTGTAGATGGATTAGTATGGATATCTTTTGCAAACAGTCTTCTAATTGGTCTTACCTTGAGCTTGGCAAAGTCCTGCAAAGCTTTGTCCAAGTCCCAGCCATTTCCGCTAATAGCCAACTCGGAATACTGCAAGGTCATTCCAGTCTGGCTCATGACTTGAATGACGAGTTGCTCTTGCTGCACTTGAGTCTCACTCTTTCCGGGGGCAGGCATGCCATACCCTTCCGGGGTGGCTGGTGGTCCCACCACCTGCTGAGGAACAGCTGCCTGATCGATAGACTGCTGGGGGGTTGCCTGTTGAGCCGCCGGTTGAGCGGCTTCCTCGGTTTCTGGAGCCCATGCTTCGTTACCGCCGTACGCGCGACAACATAGGATGTCGTTGATGACTCTCACTCCACCCGCGCCACCGCCAGGGCCTAATACGAACGTTCTGTCGAAGCTCCGCGTGTCGATCTTGGAGCCCTTGCCGATTTCGTCGTATTTACCGTGAACTGTGATCAAGAGGCCGCCAACACCAGTGGGACTCTGGCCGGTCGGATCAACCAGTCCTGGGATCGGATAACACTCAATCAGCCAATCCTGAGGATGCGCCGCGATATCCGGGTGTCTTGTAGCAGGAAGGCTGTTCCATAGCTTGCGGATTTTGTCCGCACCGTTATGCGATCGAGACATTCTTGCGGTCAAGTGCGTGATTCTGAGCAGGTTCCTGCTATTCTTGATGTACGCGTCCCAGGCTGCAACATCAGCCTGCTGGGCTCTGGGAGCGGCGGTGTTGATGTTAAGAGTGAATGTGGATTCGTTGTCGTATACGCTATCGAGCAAACCGTTCCGGTCATTGTCGTAGCCCGAGAAGAAAGCTCTAATGAAGTTCTCGGCAATGCAGCCCTCGTCCCGGAAATACGGTGCCTGGACAGGAATCGGGGATTTCTTCAGTGCGGCCAATTCTTCTGCGGTCCGAACTTCGATACCATTGAGGACTCGGAGTTTGAGATACCACTTGAGCATGGTGTCCTTGAACGTAGGGTCGGCACTGAAAGGGGTGTTGGAGAGGTCTAGGAGCTCGAGATTTTCGAACTTATGGCGCCATGCCAGTAAGGACTGTGCGTCCTTGAAGTCGTTGTGCGAAAGGTCGAGGTTTTTCAAGTCTGGGAAAGCTTGCGCCAAGGTGGTGACCATCTTAAGATTGTCAAGCTTGTTGGCCCTCAGACTGACACTCTCGACCGCCCGGCGACGCGCGGCGGGGCTGTCGAACACCAGGCTAAGATTCAGCTCCCAAACCTTCATCAGCGCAGGAAAGAATTTGGATTCAGTTGATGTGCTTTGGAAAATCCCCATGGCGATGAGATCCGGATCGTTGTGTAGATCCGAGAGATCAAGGAGCTTGTTTTCTCGGTTAAACCGCTTGGCGAGGAAAGCAGTCATCTTAGCCTTCGTGTCGGCGGCCGTGGGCGTGCTACCATTCACAGGTAGCATCGCCTGGTCTATCCCAGCTTCATCATATTTTTCAATTTCCAAAATTTTGCCTGCAAAATTAAAGCCGTTGAGCTGAAGCATTCTGTTCAGCAGTTCCGGCTTGATAGACACGATGATCGCGTCGCCTTCGAGCCGCGACTAGTGAACGTTAGTAAGGCGCAAGAGACCTCCCATGATCGCGATCATCCCAAGGAATAAATGCCAAATGAGCGGAAGCAAGTGTCGACCGTCGTTCTGGAGGTACCATCACTGAAAACGAGAGCACATCGGAGAGGACGACGCTGGTGATAACTCATATGTCGATGATCGCAAGTTCTGGTGTTGCACATACCTTAGTGATCCTTGCGCGTGCGCTAGCTCTCGCGTCGGGTGGGCTGAGTTTCTTCTCGAGGAAGGCGATTAGGCTTTCTTGGCCGCCGTCGGGATTCGATTTGGCCTTGCTCCCCTTCCAGTTGTTGACCCTGACCTGTTCCAGATTACTGGCCCGGCCACCTTGGCGGATATTTGCTTGTTGCGATTCCGAGTTGCTGGAAATAGCCTTCTGAATGGCATCGATAGCTCGGGTGGATGTCTGAGACCGTGTTCCAGAAGAAGCGCCGGATCGAACAGAGTCCCCACGACCTCTCTTCGCACGGGCCTGAGACGTATTTCCATCCATGACCAGATCACCTTCCCGATCGACCTTTTTCGCAGCACCCCGCTTGCGGATGCCCCCGCGATCCGAAGCGCTGGGACGGCCTCGAGCCTTTCCGTTCTTCATAGTGGGCAACAAAGATAAAATTCGTGATATTGATTGTGTTTATCGACAAGATTGTGTGCTGGAAGGAGACGAAGTCGGGCGTCGACGATGCGAAAAAGGCTTTTGTAGGCAGATGGAGCGCTGCGCGCTTTGTCGTCCAGAATCAGGCAAGCGGCATTCAATAAAAGATGTTGAAAGAAGTCGCTTACGAGGTCGAGTGGGATGAGATGAAAGAAAGACTCTTTGAATCGGTGTCCTAAATTTGGGGAACCTCTGGTGCGTTTGAGAGAGTACCACCAACCAACCTCAGAGTGGAGGTTTGAAGGAGGGGAATAATGGAACAATGAAAAAGCAGAAGCTAGTTTAGAGACAAGTCAAAAGAGTCAGCAGAAAAAGTGACGTGCACCCGGGACGATGCGCATCACGTGAGCGGGCAGCAGACCGCCCTGCAACTGATAGCTACCACGTGACCCGCTATCAGGCACTGTATCCAAGCATGTCCAATCAGAGTCTGTAGTCTGTCCTTTGGCACTGTTGGTAATACCTTCGTATTGATGCATGCACGTCGGCAGATAACCGTACCGCGCTAATCTATAAGAAGTAAAATTGCAACAATACCCCCCGTACTCGGTATTGGCCTGATACCCGCAGCGTTAAGTCCAGTCAGTAGGTAGTTCTCCGCTTCAGCTTTAACAGGACAGCTTGTTCCATTGAAGTCGCACGCCAGTCGTCACTCCCAGGAGAGGATTTGCTTTGTGCTGGAAACTTACTGTCCTACCACCTCACTCACTCATTCACGTACGTCCCCTGATCTATATCCCAAGATATTCTGTCCCATTGAGCGACCTCAACCCAGTTGGCTAACATTCAGCTTCAGTCATTATTTACCAGGCGCCGCCCCTGCCTTGATCGCGGGCACTAAATAGCTGATCTCCGGTCCATAGCGAAGACCGCGTACCCTTCCACATACACGACGACCCTCTTCGCATGGTCGTCAATCTGTTAGAGAGATGCCGGCCAAATCACGATTTACAAGGTTAGATGCGTTCGCCAAAACGGTCGAAGATGCGCGCGTTCGAACCACGTCTGGGGGAGTTATCACCATAGCATCGTTGCTGGTTATATTCTGGCTTGTATGGGGAGAATGGGTGGACTACAGGCGCGTAGTGGTTCTGCCCGAGTTGGTGGTCGATAAGTCAAGAGGTATGAAGAAACACTCTTCTCTTTTGCATGAGATTGCATGAAAAACGAAGCAAGACTGACTGAACAACTTTTGGCGCGAAACAGGCGAGAAGATGGAGATTCATCTGAACATGACCTTCCCCCGACTCCCTTGCGAGATGTTGACCCTCGACGTTATGGATGTGTCAGGCGAGCAACAGACGGGCGTGGCTCATGGTATCAACAAGGTGCGCTTGACTTCGGAGGCTGAAGGAGGTCGCGTGATTGATGTGAAAGCTCTGGAGCTGTAAGCTTGGAATCCCCTTGTTCTTCCTTGCTGGCTATCGCTGACCGTGACGCTTCCAATCTAGTCATTCTTCGACAGAGACCGCGAAGCACCTGGACCCTGATTACTGCGGCGAATGTGGTGGCGCACCCGCACCTGCCGGTGCCATCAAGGCTGGCTGCTGCAACACCTGCGAAGAGGTCCGTGAAGCTTATGCCCAAAAGCAATGGGCCTTCGGCAAGGGAGAGAACATTGAACAGTGTGATCTTGAGGGGTATGCGGAGCGCATCGATGCGCAGCGCCGGGAAGGCTGCCGCCTCGAGGGTGTCCTCCGCGTCAACAAGGTGATCGGCAACTTCCACATCGCGCCCGGGCGCAGTTTCACCAGTGGCAATCTCCATGTGCACGATCTCGCCACGTTCTTCGAGCCCAACCTGGCCGAGAACGAGAAACACACCATGACCCACGAGATTCACCAGCTTCGATTCGGACCTCAGCTGCCTGACGAGCTGTCCGATCGCTGGCAGTGGACCGACCACCACCACACCAACCCCCTGGACAACACAAAACAGGAGACTAGCGAACCTGGCTACAACTTCATGTACTTTGTCAAGGTGGTCTCGACTTCGTACCTCCCCTTGGGCTGGGATCCGCTATTCTCGTCCTCCATCCACAGCGCCTATGACAAGGCCCCTCTCGGAGCTCATGGAATTGCCTACGGAGCCGAGGGAAGCATCGAGACCCACCAGTACTCGGTGACCTCCCACAAGCGATCCCTGCGGGGCGGCGACGCCTCCGACGAAGGCCACAAGGAGCGACTCCATGCCGCCAACGGTATCCCCGGCGTCTTCTTCAACTATGACATCTCGCCGATGAAGGTCATCAACCGCGAAGCTCGCCCTAAGACCTTCACCGGATTCTTGACTGGAGTCTGCGCGATCGTCGGTGGTACTCTGACTGTGGCCGCTGCCATTGATCGTGGGCTGTATGAGGGCGTCAACAAGATGAAGAAGCTTCATTCGCATTGAGGTTGTGCTCTGCTGCTATATTCAGCAGACTACGGGAGACATACACAATAAAAGAATAGAAAAAGAACAAAAAGATAAGAGAAGTACTCGAAAAATCAAGGGGAAACAGACAGCTGCGCAGGAGCATCAGCAAGGCAGGGCACTCAGGCAGTCCAGGCGTTTTAGGTCCATACACCATGGTACACATACTATCATATCCATTGGAAGTTTGTATTAGCATATTTCTCAAGATGAAATCAATTGAGTGTTTTGGGATATAATCTGTTTCTATCCAGTAATCCAGTAAGACAGGGCAGAGATCCAGTGGCGAATGCCGGGGGCCCTGGAATCTGGACTCCCGGGCAGCAAGCATGGATGAACCAGACCCGGGGGGTGCGGCCACCACCGCTTATGACGTTATAGTAACAACTATTACATTCCCTCCCCCTCTCGGCGCACGCGACCGATTCCATTCCTTGAGGCCTTCTTTTTTGTTTCTTCTAACTGTAGGCTATGATGTTCCACGATTCCATGAGACCATGTTCACGATCTGCCGCAAACCCAGATTATTGATCCGTCCACTCGAGCGCATCCTACCGTCTCCCCGCCACCATGCCTTAATAACCTCCGCGGGGTTGCGCTATACTCCCATTCGAACCCAGACGACAACCACGCCGCTCCCTCCGCATCAATTCCCTACAACGGGCTTCGCAAATCATGATCCGTCGGAGGCACTGGAAGAAGAGCAGCTCCCCTACTATGAACCGAAACACTTCTACCCTGTCCACCTCGGCGAGGTCTTCGCGGCCCGATACCAGGTCGTCGCCAAGCTCGGATACGGCACCTCGTCGACCGTTTGGCTTTGTCGAGATCTTCTGTACGTTTTTCCCCCGTTGGAGGACATGATACATGCAACTTCCAAAAGAGTCGCACACGAAAGAGACGAAAGAGACGAACGAAGGAAACTGAACTCAGCCCCTTAGGACCCATGGATACCGCACCCTCAAGGTATGCGCGCAGGGCCACGATCCCGCGCACGAGGTGGCCGTCTCCGAGCACCTCCGAAACACCCCGGACCATGCAGGAAAGGCTCTCGTGCGGCTGGTGCTGAAATCGTTCGTGGTGTGCGGACCCCACGGGAAGCACCGGTGCCTGGTGTACAAGGCCTGCGGGATGAACATGACCAAGTACATGAATGGGTGCACCCTGCCCACGGAGCTGGGGCAACGGAGTCTCCAGCTGACCCTGATCGCGCTGTCGTTTCTCCACGCGAACCAGACCGTTCACACCGGTAACCAGCATTGTCGCCCCTCAGTTTCTTGATTAAGAGAGACCCCTTCGCTGACCAGCGAAACACCATCCAAACAACAGACGTCTCCCCCAACAACATCCTCCAGAAGATCGATGACAGCGCCATACTATCCGCCATCGAAGAGGACGAGATGACGCAGCCGATCGCCCGGAAAGTCCTGGACGACCGGACCATCTACCGCTCCCGATCCATGCCCGCCTGCGAAGGGCTCCCGGTTCTCTCGGACCTCGGGGAGGCGCGGTTCGGCCACGAGAGATACCAGGGCGATATTATGCCGGGGATCTACCGCGCGCCAGAGGTCATCATGGGGATGGAGTGGGACTGCAAAGTGGATATCTGGTCCATTGGTGTGATGGTGAGTTGTGGTTTCTTCAGCCCTCGAAGAATCCCGTAGCCTCGATCTACCTGTACCCCCCTCCCCCCGCTGATCCGATCCGAGTGAACAGGCATGGGATTTCATGCAAGACGAGCATCTCTTCTCCGGCAAAACCCACGGGGTCCTGTGCAACGAGCAGCATCTCGCCGAGCTGGTCTCGCTCATGGGACCTCCCCCGCCGGAATTCGTCCAGCGGTGTAGTAGTAGTCGCAGCAGTAGCAAGTGTGCCAGATTCTTCGATGAACGAGGTATGATCTACCCCCAAGACTACCCCTGCTACACGGTTCGAACTCGCTGATGCCAATTTATCGGTAATGCAGGAAATTGGAAGGGCTCCATCCGCATCCCGCGCCAATCCCTGCACCAACGGATCCAGCACTTCCAGGGCGCCGACAAGACACTCTTCCTGAACTTCCTCCGGCGCATCTTCCGGTGGTTGCCGGAGGAGCGTCCCTCCGCGGAGGAGCTGGCCCACGACGAGTTTCTGATGCAGCCGATCCTGGCGGCGAGGAAACAGAAGTAGTAGCCCTTCAGGGCAAGTTCGGATCATGTCGTTAGATAGACTAATCTACTTGAGCGTTTTGCATAGTCTCTATACCGTGATATGATGGCGACCAATAGACCATGCCGACTGCCTCTGCATTCCTTTCGCGGTAGCACTTGCATACAGAGTAGTCAAGTCAGGGGGGCCGGAGGGTTGGAATTGATTGACACTCACAGCAGATCAGAGTAAACTCCGTAACCTCCTCCTGCAATTTGCAACTGTGCTTGCACCAGCTGGTTGCCTTCCTGGAATTGACGTCTTATACTTTCTTATGTGCCTTTCGAGAAGTTCCTAGCTTTATCTCCCCACTCCGCTGCTCCCACATCTGCTTCTCATATGGAATGACGGTGGTTGAGTATAACTTCGGGCTACGGCTACCACGTTCCTGTACTTCCAAGAGAGAGAAGGGTGGAGGTGGTGGCTGGATTTGTTTTTCCCTTTCTGCGAATGAATTAGCTCGAAGACCAAGCAGGATTATGGACTACCTACCGATAGCAAGTGGGCGACTACAGGGTACCCCGGAATGTGTAGGGCAAATGCCGAGTGATGAAGCGGCTTTGTAGAAGAGAGATATGTAAGGATCTCCCGCAACGTGACCAGCACATCAACCCTTCGAGCACGATTACTTCGGCTCCAAAGCCTACATCTGTCATACGTCGTAAAGAAAGCATCTTATGAAGTGCACCGCAGAGCAATGGGTTTATCCGATTGTTGACCGTGGAGCAACTCGCAGGACGGGGAAAAAAAAAAGCTCCTGCCCTCATGGGATATCAAAACACCTTCTAGGAAACAAAGCTGCGTGAGTTGAACGCCAGCAACGTCGAGAAAAAAAAACATAATCCCCAAGATAATAACGCCGACTGATGCTGAGAACGAAACGCTACCAACCCAAAAACAAAAGCAAAACAGCAATCGACCAACCAGATTCTTCGAGTTCTAGCTCTCTTAGATGCATCGAGACCTTCAGAAAGGAAAACAAAACAAAGACAACACAAAAACAGATAAGGCAAAAGAGATAGCGACTAGAGATCGGCAGTATCAGATCTCAAGCGAGAACGAAGCGAGCGAAATGAGTACAAGATGGTGAGTCGGCACAAAGCAACGCCCAATCCGCGCGCAAATGTTCCCCTAGTAATGGCTGGCGTTGGCATTACTGAAATAACTAGTCGGCTGGCCGAGAGATTGAGTGTGATGATGCGCTGGGGGCGTCCGTGACTTTTGCGCTGCGAAGTATTGCCCGTACCACGACTGGCGCCGCGGCTCTTCTGGATAGTAAGGCTGGTTGAGAGCGTCCCAGGTCCGGCTGGCTGCAGGAAGGTTATACACGCTGTAGTGGTTATCTTGGCTATATGGCTGAGTCTGGGGCTGTGCGGGCATTGGCTGCTGCTGCTGCTGTTGTTGCCAGTGTTGCTGACGCTGTGCGATGGCATGCTGCACCATCTGGTTGGAAACCCCTTCGCGGATGCTCTTCTTCTCGCGCTCTCGAGCATCAATGGCCCCAACCAGACCCATGGGATTAACAGGAGTCACTTGAGGCTTGTGCCCGCCGGAGAAATCAAGCAGCGGAGCGCCGGTCATACGAGAGATATGCTCCTGCTCGCGGGCCGACAAATGCGACGAGAGTTCGTTGTAGTTCATGACAGTACTAGCGCCACGAGAGTGAGGACGCGCCGGGCCCTCTTTGTGGCCAGACGGGTGCGGTTGTTGCCTGGAGCCACTCGTCCACTCTCCAGAAAGGGGCCGAGGGAGAGCTGGTGCTAATTTAGCCGTTGCTGATGAAGATAGAGTTCGGTGGTGGACATGAGCAGGCGGGCTGGGAGCTGACCGTTGTTGCACAAATTGCTCTGGTGTAAGTCGGCCAGGAGTGGTTGGTCGCGGAGCAGCCATGCCCGGCTGCCACATCATGCTGGGTGACCGAGAATGCGAGCGCTCCATGTGGTGCGGGGGAGCTTGTTTTTCTGTTACATTTGAATCGCTCCTCTCGTGACCCATTTTTTTATAGGTCTCCGAGGTATTAGGACGTGCGGTGGTAGGCATCAGAGTCATTGTCGGGCCAAAGTCGATAGTGGGAATGTCGGGATTGGGCTCTGCCGACTGTTCAAGAGAGTAATGCGCGTCGCCAATGACATAATCCTTCTTGTCAGGCACCGTGCCTACCGTCTTCATGACTCCCATCCTAGGTCGAGGGATCGACTTGACCGAGCGCTTGCTGTAGACAGACCCTTTTGTACTAGCATAATCAGGGGATGCAGCCGACTCATCGTCGTAAATGCTTCCCTCATCTTGGCGGTTCCCTGGCTCTCGCGATGTGAATGATAGCTGGCGGCTACCAACCCAGTTTAGGGCCTCTTCATTAACAGTGTGGCGAAGATCATCAAAGCTGGGCTCCCCCGTCATACTCGAAGAATCTGGCTCCCCAGCGTACTGCTGAGGTACGGGCTTCCTCTTGACAGCCTTTGTAGTGTCCAGGCGCAGACCACGTGCCTTAGGTATAGCCAGTGGTGGCCCGAAGGAACCAGAACGAGGCCCAATAGGCGGGGCAGGTTGTGGATCGCTACTCCTAATTGCCTCCGGGTTCACCCAGTCTGCATAGTGCTCGATAGATTCACTGCTTGGGGTTATTGGACTGGGCTCGTTCGAGTCTGTCGTCGTCGCTCGGTTTTCTGCCGGCACATCAGGACCAAGACGACTTAAACCCCCGGAAGCCGCCACAAGCTGTGTAAGAGTGGCGTCCGACATTCTGTTATTGACTTTCCTTAAGTCGGACGACGGCCTAGGCCGGGTAGGGGGGACCTCTCCCGGTCCGTGAGTGAAAGCAGGCGGTTGGGCTACCGGCGAAGGAGGCGACACAGGGCGGAACTGTTGACCAACAGCTCCGGCCGCAGGATCTGCATGAGGGTTTGGCTCAGCCTCCACACTGCTACGGTCACTATCGCGGACTCGTTCTCCGTTCGGCGGAAGCTCGTGGGATGATGATGGCGGGGAGCTGTCGCTAAGAGAAACAGGAACCTGGGCCTGAGAGGCAAGCCCAGCGAAATCAGAAGCACCACGTGCGTGATGTACTGGGGAGATAGGATCACTTTCAGGCCCTGCGCGAACGATAGCATCAGTAGACTGGTTGTAGCCTGGTCGATTCTCGGGGGGAGTCATATTGCGCTGATTGGGTCCAGCGCGAACATTGCCGCCTTGACGGCTTGGGAGACTGGACCGAAAGCGTGGCTTGCTTCCAGAAACGCTACTAGTCCGGCTTCCAGCTGTCGCCATGCGTCGTGAAGTAGCCTCCTTGAGCTGCCTCCTCCATTCCGCTTCGCTCCAATTCTGGCTTCCAGGTGTCTGCATGAGACTGGAGATATCTAGGATATCCAAGTAACCATAACGTCGCCGGTTGGGAAATGCGAACATGATACTTTTAATGTGATTGGTGGCGGCGAGCAGCCGAGTCGGCCTTCCATAGAGGTTGAACGTGTCAAAGGTTGGTATCAGAAAGCGGAGCATCATTTCGAAGCCCGAAACAGCTGGGTGGACTTCAGGCATGACGAAGACGAACCCTTCGGAGGTGGACTCCGGTTGTGAATGAACTGTGATTCTCCCTTCTATTTTGACCAAAGTCGACTGGTCAATCAACGGCTTCGACTGCGGGTATATCGCGTAAGCAGCGTATGCGTCGGTGATTGTGGCTATCGGCGTCGCTTTCTTGGTTCTCTTCGTTTCGTAAAACTTGATATGGCCTGTGACTAGTCGAGGGGCGCGGTCATATGCCGACTTCTTGATCGACTTCTGCGCTTTTTGGAACTCCTTCTCATTTGGGGGAGTAATGACGAACCAACATCGCTTCCATGGCGTGCCCGCGCCAAATCTCACACGAGCCCAGTCTTCATGTTTGAATCGGTTGCGCTCAAGGATATGTTTGACATTGTTCAGGCTCTTTCCTTTGCCAGCAATGATCGAGCCAGTATACGCCTCATACAAGGAGGTGTGCTCGAACAAAGCCAAGCGTATGGCTGCAGTCCATTGCGTCAAAGAATGGAAAGAATTGAAGTGGAGGAGGTATCGATTCTGGCCCGCGGAGCATATGCTCAGTATGTTCTTCAATGACTGTACCTCCTGGTTTCGAGTTGGTAGTGTTTCGAGCTTGATGAGTGAATGCCAGTCAGTATCGGGGCTAGACTAGTGCCGGTCCGGAACGCCAAGAGGGGGTTTATGCAGATCTTACCATCTTGATCGAAGCATCCGCCAAGTTGATGAATGTTGGGCGAACGTCACCTTCGTCTCCCGCCTCGTCCAGCGCTGCGGCATCCCAAAGAGAGAGAGCAGTCCCGACGAGTTGCGCATAACATTCGACCCATTGTCGGTCGGAACACGGCCGGCCGTCTGCAATTCCCATCGATTAGTCCCAACTCAAACCTTAGTGAACTGCAGTGAGACACATACGAGTATCCAAGTCATTCAACTTCAAGAAGTAACCTTCGTGATATAGTTTGTTGGCATGGCTGTTGAGATGGCCGAATATAGGCTGCAGTTCTGGCGGTGTGTCTTGCGAAAACTCCACCAGAGGGGGATTGTGCGAAAAATAGGTCGAGTCGGGTCGTGACGAGATTCGTCGTTCCGCGATGGATGTCCCACTAATTGGCGACGCATCAACAGGTGAAGTGGTATCTGGCGTCGGAGGATCATTCCTAAACGGGGGGTGGTTCAAAGTGACTGAAGCCGACGCGGTCCGATGGTGTTGGCTGGGGTTATCTTTGCGAGAGGAGCCGCCGAAAACCGACATCAACGATAACACTGGGGAGAGAATCTGGTGTCAGTATAGCGCTTTCCAAAGCAAGTGAGAACGAATTCCCTACCTCGCGAGCGACCCATGATGTCCAGAATCGAAACTAGAATAGTAACAATAAGTTGAGGGAGAGACCAGTTTCAGGCCCACGGTATAATGTGGCTGCGACCCGGCAGACGCAGCAGCTCGCGCGAGTGATGAAGCCCACTGGCGATGCGATGGAACGAAGGTGGGAACGAGAAATGAAAAGTATCGTGGAGGCGAAATGCCAATTGAGACCAGCTCCTTCGTAGCGAGAGACGGCGACGAGGTGTGTCAGGGCCTGCCAAGACTAGGAACGGCGGAAGTCTGGTTCCATAAGGTACCGGTAGTGAGTGTTGGAGGCGAAAAGAGCGGAGAGGCAAGTGATAGCGAGGAGATGCGTAGTCAGCGCACAAGCGCCTGTGACGAGGCCACTTGACGTCCAAATTGCGTCCGGCGAGTCAGCGGATCGGGCAGAAGAAGGGATCGCGCGGGATGTAGTTTGTTTGAGTTTGATGTTTGTGAGCGGAACGGAGGGAATGCGAACGGAGCGAGCGGAAAGGAGGAGGTGGTGATGGTGGAAGTGAAGGAGGGAGAAGAGAGATAAGGTGAATAGAGAGGTCGCAAAGCGAATGGAGAACAGAAGGTAGGGTAGTTGATGAAAAAGAACAGCGAAAGATGAAGACCAGAAAGAGAGCGAGAGAGCGAGGGAAAGAGAGAGAGGAGGTACAAGAGGGGGGGGTGGCAGACGAAGATGATACTTTGCCCAGTGGGTCTGGAGGTTTGTTCACTGAGTGTTCAGTGTAAGTGCAGGTGTAAGTGTAAAAAGTGTTTTAGTTAGTGTTCGACCTTAAGTGTGTAACAGCTGACTGGCCAGGCAGTCTTTGTCTGAGACATCCCCGTCAAGCGGGGACTCTTCAATACGAAAGGGAGATAGATGTTGGATAATTATTTCCTATGATACGCCGGAGAAGTCTAGTTGATCAGGATACTTGGTAAGTTGGTATGTTCAACTACGGGAATATGGTACCTATCTACATGAAGAGGAGACCAGACTATTGCCTGGGGGACAATAGATGGAAATCAATAAGAATGAAATTACAGAGGAGTACTAAGTACGGGGGGGGCTGGCGTCATCAATTGCATGTACTTCAACCCGCTCTTTTTTAGCTCCCGCATCTCTTCCAGTAATGAGCGTCACCCCCTCCCCCCCCCCTGCCCCTGCCTGCCTGTCTATCATTCCACAATCCACACCAGCCGATGGATCGCCGTGGATCACTCGGAGAGGCTGCAGTGCAGCAGCAGCAGCACACACACAAACACACACTGACCACATCTTTCCTTCATTAGATGACATGGGACTATGTACAATCTGAAGCAATGATTCCAATTAATATTGATCATATTGATCATTTTGAACGTGATTATTGTTTCCTTGCCCTGACCACGCCTCACTCCTTTCTACCTACTCGGTACCAGTACCAGTACCAGTACCAGTACCAGTAGAATTTCTCCCCCCGCGTAACCGACGTTCCGGGACTGTCTCCGAGTCTCCGACTCTCCAATCAGTTGATCCCACTTGGAGACCGCACCAAATTTAGCAACAGTGTTCAGTCCTGAGCCTGGAGTCCTGCACGGCATGTCTTAACCATGACGATCATGACTGGTCAGTTTTCCCTATTTGACTTCTATTCTTTGCTTCTTCTAGGCTTTCTTGCCTGCTGTCCACGAGGGAAAGAGGGAGAGAGAAATCGAAGTCCTGCCAAGCATATTCGAGCCTTGCATCTTGGCCCATCGGTTCTTGTTTTGGTCTCTTCGAGGACTCGTTCAATAGGAGTACCCAGGACGACTGAAGTGGCCACCTAGGTAGTGCTAAGAAAATCCCGTGGATCTCCAGCGATAAATTACACACCGTCAGCATGGCGTATTGCTCAGTAATCCATTCGTGGAACTGGCCACAATTCTTCCATCGGTAATTATGGTCTTCTACGGAGTAGTGTTTCGGGGCTGCTGGAAAAAGGCACTGCCACAAAGGCGGGTGGGTGAGTAGTGGATCGACTTACCGTGCCACAGGGCATCAGATGGTCTTCCACCTTTGTTACTTAAGTCAATGCCTCACCCGTTAGTTGTCATTATTGTTTGAGCTTGAGACCCTGAGAGCCCTACTATGTAATTTTTGATCAACTTCTTTGTCTGCCTAGATGGCTCAGGTGGGTTCCCACAGCCTCTATTTATCAATCGACACCTCTGAGCCTATTCTTGCCACAGTGTTAGGTCTCTTGCATGTCTCACGGACAGGATGTCAAGTTCCACTAACGGCCGAACGCCGCGACGCATCATCTTGTGAGACCTTACCCAATCCATCTTAGCCTGGAATCCAGACCCTCGCAGCCTCCGGACACGATAAAATTGTTGAAAAGAAACCGGAGACAGCAAGCCCTCAACACTGCGACCTCCTTGGGAAGAATTATGAAATACAACAAGTTCTGCTCAGTGACGAATTTTCTGTCTTCTTCGCCTAATTTTTGGCCGCTTTGGAGACATGAGCATATATTTAGAACATGTGACGATTTCAAGCCAGCTACAGACTGGGATCATCCATGCGGACAGAGTCTCGCCGTTTCCTGAACTACTTTATACAGACGCTTAAATCTAACACGTGATTCAAGGAACAAGTCCTCGAGCTCAAAACCTGGGTACTTGTATCTTCAGTCTAGGATCATCTGATTGTAACTGTGCTAACAGCTATGAATCTAGACATAAGTGGTAGTAGTATCGTAGTCTAGTACCTATTGTGGTCTTAATCGGAGGTCTTCTAAACATTCTACCTACTAGTGCAATAAGCCTTATCTTATCTCCTAGATCTAATGAGTAAGTCTTGCACAGCGGCCCGATATGAATCTCCTACAGTATTCTGTCGTCGATCCCATCATTGCCTCCTGGTAGCCGGTGGATTGTACATTCTCTATATCCAAACCCTAGGAAGATAATTCCGATGTCTGATTCTCGGCATTCTACCTCTTTCCCAAATCAGGTTCACGTCCATGTACCTGTGCGCAAGGACGCCGGTGAGCGACTCTGCGCCGCTCATCTACGACGAGTGGAGACCTGACCCATGCTTGATACCGCCCCTTTGAGGCCAGGGGAGACTGGTGCTGGTACTGTCAGCCCCAGGTGAGTACGTACTACCTGGGGTATAATGCTTTTCAGCGCAACAGACTTGATATCGACAGGGCAGCAAGAGACTTGGAAAGGCTGAAGCTGTCGATCTGAAAGATCATTAAGCATGCACTATACTCGAGAACAGATTTTGGCATTCCTCAAGACAAAGCATAAAGGTGGGTCTCACTCGGATATACTGGACGTGGAATTCGAGCCTTCGAGGCAATATTGATATCGAAGCCTGGAGAGCACGAAAGACCGCCCAATGCAGTCGCGCGGGTCATGCTCAAAGACACGCCGCCCACTAAAGATCACAGGGGATCACTTGATTTGGCCTGCCCATGCTTTGAATAACGGCGTCACGCTCCGACCAATACTTCTGATCGCGCTGAATACCCCCCATGCAAGACCCAGATCGAATCTGCCTCTGTCGGGATCCAGGTCTAATCCTGTGCCAGATACGCACTAGGCTTTTCTCTTGCAGAGCTGAGGCTGTGAATCCCAGTCGAAGACTGTCACAAGAGTTCCTAGTAGCTAGAGGACAGACAGTGCTGCGTACTTCTTACTCCACTAGCAGCTCAAATCTGGTATCTTAAGAAAGGTATCATCCTGCTCAACTACTATTATGGTAGGGATTGATACATTCAATGTAGAAACCAATAGACAAGGGCGATCACTATGCTGGAAGCTTACAGGCCTGTCCTGTGTGCAACTTCTGATGTCCAGATGTGTCTCTAGAGCGCGCTTCGCAGGTCCAGCAGGGCCTGATGGTACCAATTCTGACGGGACCTGGAGATATCATGGTGAACTTGTACGAATCAGCACCGGCAGTCATCAAGGGTGCAATTGCAATGTTTATTTCTGTGCGGATGATTTGAGTCAGGGTGTTACCATGTTCACGATACCAGGGCCCGGCGCAGATGCTTTCTCTTGCTAAGTGTGCTTTTAGGGAACCTAGTAATCATTACTACTAAGTGCGGTGGTGTTCAAGGTTGTATGAATAGACGATAGGTACAAGATCACAGTTCCTACTCGCGGTTTGCTACTCAAGCCTCCAGGTCGTCGCTTACAGACTAATCCTAATCAGGCAGGGAACCGGTTGCTCCAGTGTGGATATCACACTGGCTGGAAACTTTGGGACGATTAGTGAATGAAACAGCTTTCCAGATCGTTGCCTGGAGGCCAGGATAGTGAATGTGTTATTCCCCATTCTCTCTCTACACCCTCCCTCCTTTCTTCTTCCTTCGGCAATCCTCTCCATCTCCTCCTCATCTTCCCACTTCCTTCTGTTGGCGGGCTCACGGCCCCAAGGCCGCCAACACCTTCTTCCATCGTCTCCAAGTCCTCTTCATCTTCCTGCTCTCTTTCTCTCTAACTGACCTTTGTCTATCTCAGGTACCTAGCCCCTCTCTACTACTCCATTCGATCTGATACTCATAAGCCTTCTCTAGCTACACCAAGGTGAAAATGACCTCCACAGCTCCCGATCATGCGGTTAACCCCGAGCACTTCCGGTAAGTAAACCTTCACTCCCTTTGATGGTAAGAAAGCTCTTGGATGCTGATTAGTTCTGTATTACTCCTTACAGAGTAGGGCCCTCAAACTCGGGGGGTTCCCATGACGTTGAGCTCGTGGATCTACCACCTGAGCTGATGAGAGCACTGAAGATCTCGCCCCTCTCTCGTCTACAGAGAACCATCATCACCCAAGTAGTAAACAGGGTGTCATGCACAGTGACGGGGGGGCCAAGGACAGGCCGAACAACGGCTGCCCTGCTGACGGTTGTGTTTGCCCGGTTGAATAAAATCACCATCTTCGTGACACCCACCAAAGAGGCGGCAGTTCAAGCTGCGGGAGTGGGAAACATCATTGCATTGGGCCATGGGACGCTCACGGTCTCATGTCTCGTTGGCAAGGGTGGGCCCGCTAGTCCACTCTCTTCCACTGGCGAGGCCCAGAGGCTCATTGTGACTACTCCTGGCAAGCTCATCAAAGCTCTCCGCAACTGCGAAATTGTGCCCGAGGATGTCGGTACTGTGGTCTTAGATGGGGGCGATACTTTGTTAGACACTGAAACAGGTTGTGGTCACCATTGTTCTTTGGTTTTGCAGTCACTTTCTGCTGCATCGCCCACTCTTCTTGTGATCAGCAATACCGCCATGCCTATCCCTGCTGCTATGCAAGAATATCAATCCCCACTCGTCACCATTGAGGTTCCTGGTCTCTGGGAGAAAAGAGGGGATATCAACTACTTACTCTCGCCAAAGTCGACCCGGTTTGAGGAAATCCGCAAGCTTCTGTCTGAGGCAGGTAGTAAGAAGCCGGGTAAGTCTAGCCGGTCTCTCTCTCTCTCTCTCTCTCTCTTTGATTTATACTAATATCTACAGCTACAACACTCCTAGTAGCTGAGACTATTGCCCAAGCCGAGAGCTTGCAGAAGTTCCTTGGGAATGGATTTACGCTGGTGCATTCGGGGCTGCCCGATGATGTCAGGTTTGAGCGTGTGACACAGTTCAATAAGGGACAGATCTCACTGATCGGCTGCCGGGTCCCCTCTTCTGGCCCGGACCTAGCCCTGGCTCAACTCGTGGTATTCTTCGAGCCACCGGCCAGATGGGGAGATCTGGCAGACCTGCTGGAGAAACTTAATGACCACGGTAATCTGTATATCTGCTACGATCCCGAGAATTCAGAGGAGTCCAATCGAATTCTCGCCGTACAAGCCAACTTTGAGAGTGCCAAGAAGGGACAAATGATCACCAATCAGTCCGGGGGCCGGCGCCTGGACCCAACTCGGAGGCTCCAGGTGACTGGTATCCCCGCGGCGTCCAAGGAGGAGGTGGCCCAGTGGTTCCCTGTGCAGGATAGAACTTTCGAAGACAGCGGTGGCGGTGCCACGGGACGATGGAGGTATTTCGACTTCGAAAGTGCCGCACTAGCCGAGCAGTTCAAGAACCGGTATCAACACTTCCAACCCCCGGGTCAGGGCATGTGGTCGCTTGAGCTCGAGTATGTGACCCCGCCCAATCCGGGACTTGACCCGAGATCGAAGACAGCAACGAGTCGTGTTGAGAAGCAGAAACAGAAGAGGCCTACTCGGAAGCAGAGACAGGAGAGAGCGGCCGCCTTGTCGCGGGCAGCTTCCAGCCAAACTCGATAGGCAAGAACTTGTCGTCGATGTGGCGGATTTTCTCCCATGTTCTCCTTTGTTACAGAAATACACCGAAGACTGTTGTTATGATGATGTCTTAGTTTCGGATAGTATTCAAATCAAAAGACAGCTCGTCCCAAATCTCTGGCAGATGTAAGATCTATCTTCACCATTCTCAAGACTTGTAGAAGCTCGTGACTCTTCAGGGTCTTATATCCAGTTGCCTTTGACCCACTTGCTTATATCTGTACTTTCAACTGATCTCCTCTATCTCATCGGCCTTCTCTATGACATTTGATCAAGTTTCAATCATCGGCTTCTATCAAGCTAGGTTCCCGATTTTCTGTGGAAAGCAAGCAACACGATCCAGTACTAATACCCATCCCTATCGTCTCAGAGCATAACCTTACCTCGAGTCTTCCTTCTCATTGGCAGTCTCAGCAAATACCAATCCTCAATTGACTCGTATGAAATAACTTGTTATCCGTCACGGAAAGACGAGCCCTACTACAGTCCAGTCACTTCTGTGCATGGCCATCCAACCACTTTCCAGGTACAAAGAAGATGTCCAAAGTATGACTTCCAGGCCACTTCTTTTTTCTCTGTTAGTCTTTCTCAGATCTCATCCTTAGTATCTAGATTGCTGGCTAATACTACGCCCTTCTCAGCAGACTTGCTCTAGTCCCACTCCGCACACTCCAGTTTTGCCAGGCCACCATCCCGAAGAACGCATCCAGACTACTGCGCTCCCAATTTTGAGATAACGGTATCACTGATCCTGCGTCTTGTTGTTTCCACAGACTTATCAGTGAGAATTTTGGAAGTTCAGCATGGACATCTATATCTTCGCACACCTTCGTCATCAGTCTACACTCAGCAAGACCTGCAGAACGAACTCGATAAAAGAGGGTGAGGGAAAGGTGGGGAGTGAGTCAGACACACCGATGCCGTTGCAGCCGCAACCTCCGAAGAGGTCGGGGGTCCAAAAGATGTCGTTTAAGAGCGAACGCTAATGACTGTTCAAGGTGCAGACAATCTGCGAAGTGGCTCTACATAGCGCACCCTTGGCGTTGCGATTCCTCTGTTTCTTATCTCTACTTGGAGCAGAGTATCTAACCCAGCAATGTGGGTGAGCACAACCCACCAAACGCGCATGGGCGAGTTCCGGATGAGTTTCTCTGTTGTGGCCATTTTGTGGACGGAATTATGATCTGGTACGAATATGCTTGTCAGGATTAAACCACGACTTCGATCGACGCCTCAAGCCCTGCATCCTGTCCACGTTCCGCACACAAATGTACGCCTGGTGCGCGATCATTTTGTCGTTTGTGAACCTAATTCAACCACTCCGCGAGCTCTATATTTCCTTCGACCTTCCTCTGCTTTTATAAGAAGAAGTCCGGCAAAGAGGATTGCTCGAAGGCTACTGAATATCTCTATCTAGTCTAACTCTCCTGGTTCCACGGTCACCTATTCGTATCTAGCATGGAGCGCAGAGTATACAGCAGTACGCGATGAGGAATTACAAAGCTTCAGCGCGGCATGTCAAGGTAACCATTTCCTTTTCCTCTTTCCTTCCAAACTATTCCCCTTGGGACGCAGTTCAACTTGTATTCCACAAGTGATCTTATCATAGGCTTTCCTGCTTCGACCATCGGAACTGGTATTGTGCCAGTCTTCCGCAAGCCCATACGAGGAGCCCGCCACTAAGAGTATGCAGTGCTTTTACAGCCTAAATTGCCACCCCCTTCTCCCTTCTCCACGTAGTAAAGATATGTGAAACGTTCGCGATGGAGATTCTTGTACATTATCAAGGCGATCATTCTGCGCGACACTGGAAATTCCATCGGCGACTAATGGTCTCTGAAACGGAGAATCGTGTCATGTGCTGGAGTTCCAGAGGGGGGCTATATGGATGTAGAGGACGAAATAGTAGGGGAAAGAAGTGTCGTCATTGTAACTCTGTGAGAAGACAGTTTCCTGCCTTCACTTGTTATGACGGGAAGTGACCGGTACTGCCATGGAGGACTCTCGAGTCGAACGTTGTGGATATCTTACTGAGAATACCCAGGCTTACGCCAGTGTGAGAGTAACATCCTCACGGGAGAAAGCCGGTTTCCATGGGAAACCATATCAGGGCCACCCGGCAGGATGAGCGCAATATTTGCTTTGGGATGTACATAATGAATCTCTGTTCTAATTGCTCGGGGTATTCCTTGGCGGTATATTAGACAGAGAATTTTCCATCTTCTAGTCTTTCTTGATCTCATATGAACAAGGCGGCTTAGATTTCAACATCACATTGCTTTAGAGATGACATGCCATCCCTCGCCTGAAGGGCTTGTGTTCTGGCAGACTCCTCTCAACAGCGCACAGGAAACTCTAGTTATAATCGTCTTTATTTGTTTCGGATACCGCTAATCTGCCTCACAAACCCTTCTGGTCCCAGAAGCTGAGGTAGAGGCAGTCTATTGCTTACTTAGCAGTGCTGTCCGAGGGAAGCATCAGCAAGACTACTTTACTATGAGCCGGCCACCGGGCCCGCCGCAACTACTCCTCAATAGGCAGTCACGCTGGACTCTTCTGTCGCCCTCTGTTACTCCACGCTGAATGCGGATTTAGAGGTGTGGGTTTACAGGGGAAAAAAACGGGCAAAGCAAAGGCAAAGGCCAAAAAGATGGTCCCAGAGGGGCTCGAACCCTCGACTTTAACGTTATTAGCGTTACGCTCTAACCAACTGAGCTATGGGACCCGGTTGGTTGAAAGGTGATAGGATCTATGTCCTTATCAGCACGTGAAACACTATGTCATTATGCATGAGGTTCTGTGTTCCACCGCCGATCCGGATCGCAGTAGGGCTGGCTCGGATCTAGCCGAATCCTGGTGCATCTACCGAGTATATTCCAACGCATACAAGTGCTGTACAGTGCATAGACTTGATTCAAGCGCATAGCGCCACGCTGTGGAATTGCATGTGGTCCCCGGGTCACATCATTATAGATGATGGCTTATAGAATTGAGGTTTATGGTACCTATTCCTCCACGATTTGTGACTGATTGGCGCGCATGGGAGGCGTATGTGCCCGTTAGGCAGATTGCTACAATAGCCAACAACAAAAGAGTATATGCACAATCCATAGCACCGTGTTGTTATTTTCGTGCGAACTGTACTCGGGTGCAGACGATAAGATCCATTCTCGTCTCTTGCATGTTTTACTCTCTCGTGGAATTGTGCCTGCGGATATGCCATGTGATTTTGACTTGGACTAAATCCATAAAGCTGCGCAGGCCGCGGAAGCCGGGATCGGGGACGGTCAAAAAGAATGAACGAACCACGCCTGGTGTCACCACAGCCCGGCCCTTTGAGGACCACGAAGAACAGACAACACGACACCATTGCACGCCTACGATGTTCCCCTTCGGGTGACCAAGAAGCGACGATCGGGCAAAAGCAAAAAGATGATCGGCCCGAGCCGCGGATCGAACGCGGGACCTCTCGCAGATATGCTTGGGTTTGGAATCCCTAAGCGAGAATCATACCACTAGACCACCCGGGCTGAATTATTGAAAGGGTGTAAGAGTGTGCCATTATGAGGACGGAAAGTGCATCCTGGCTGTCTAACTGCCAGAGTTGACTGAGATCCTCGTAGCGGATGCTGTTAGGATTGCGGTATGTATGATGCCTACAAAAAAACATAATGGTGGGACTCCCAGTCACTCAGCAGTGCTCTCTGCGATGGATGGCAAGAAAAAGAAAGCCTTCTCCTGGGCAGTATCCAGTTACTGGACTTGGGGATCGAGCAACATATCGGTACTGACTGTCTGCGGGTAGCGGAATATACAACAGTGCCAAGGTAGGGCTTTGGGGGAAAATACCTTTGTTGCGCTTGTGCTTTCACCCCCGCGGCGCTCTCCCTCAACCTCGAGCAGGAACATCCTGCCCAGATAGGATAGAGCAGCCATCTTCTCGGTACTTCGAATAATGGCAGGTGCCACCCCCCTCACTGTCCATGGTCACGAGCCACTCGCTCCGGCGACAAATCTATCCATCCAGAGCAACCTCATATCGCAAGCATGTACCTATGACCCACCCAATGACTTGATATAGCATACATACACCGTACTATCCATCAAGGCCTTCATCTCCAGTATGAATCCATCCGTAGGCCGAGCACAACAACCATCATACTATCGATCCTAGACCCGGCAACAACAGCAACGGAACGGCTGTAGCGGTAGCCCTATATCCCCAGCCCCGGACCCCCCATCCCCGGTAGAGAAGCACAGACAAAAATCCACGAAGAATACCGCATACAGAAAATAACACCTGCAAAGCTTACTCCCACACCCATCACACAGAGACACCTACCAGATACCACAGCCACCAGAAAGGACACTGCCACTCTCTACGGAGGCCACGCGCCCCAATTCCCCACCCCAAGAACCACCTAACAATGGCATTATCCGAGGCCTTTATCCCCCACGTCTTTGACATCCCCTTCAAGCCTCTTTGTCTCAACTCATGACAAGGAGACCATTGTACATACAACAGTGAACTTGAACGTAACCCAACAAGCAGATTTGTTGATCAGAATAAAATCCCCAGTAACGGCAGCATACAGCCATAACGGTGCAATGCTCGCTTTCCAAGGTATAAGAAACATTCCCCCCCTGAAATGGCACCCCTCCGCGCGCGCCCCCGGCTGGTCTGACTACCACTTTATATATACTTTTTTTTTTCTTAGGGACGACACAAGCAGCAGGGCTGCTTCATATCAATGTCTCCAATTCGAGAAATAGTTTCGACAACGGACACCATACACAGAACAAAAGAAACGATAATCTTCGCCACTAGGGAGTTAAGTGGCATCTATCGACGGCCGCTCAGATGAGAGGTGGGAACAGAGGCGGCGGTGGTGGTGGCAGAGGTGGTAGAGGTGGTTTCAATAATCAAAATAACCGCGGTGGCGGAAGAGGGGGCGGTTTCAACAACCAGGGTGGCAGAGGTGGATTCAACAATAACAACAACAGAAACAGAAACAACAATGGCGGAAACAATAATCGGGGACGAGGTGGGTTTAACAACAATAACAACAGCAACAGAAATAATAACAACAACAACCGCGGTGGAAAAGGCGGTGGCTTCTTCAACAACAATAATAACAACAATAACAACAACAAAAACAACAACGGCAACGGTAATGGCAAGAACGGCAAGAATAACAAGAAAGTCAACTGGTATCGCCCGCTCCTCGACCCATACGACTTCGAAGACAACTCGGCCAGGGTGCTGTGGCGCTGGGGGTTTGACAGCAGCAAGGCCCCGGAACCCGAGGATACAGAGATGACGGACGCGCCTCCGTTGGAGGACCCCGAGCCTGACGATGATATAACCATGGGAGGCGTCTCTGATGACGAGGACTCTGATATCTCGATGGGGGGCTGGTCCGACTCAGAGTCTGATTCGGATACCTCGATGAGAAGTTGGTCCGATTCGGACCCCGATACCTCAATTCGGGACTGTGCTGACCTGGATGCCTTGGTAGGGGGGCAGTCAGATCGGGGTGCACATGAGCGGCGATTGTCTGATTCAGATATCTCGATGAGAAGTTGGTCCGATTCGGACTCTGATACCTCGATTGGGGACTGTGCTAACCCGGATACTTCAACAGGCGAGGAGTCCGATCCAGACATCGCGGTGGGAGTCCGTTTTGAGTTGTACAGGTCGTGCAAAGGCCGTCCTGGAACACCAGTTCCCTCGAGGAGATCAAGCTCGAGCTCGGAAGCCTCGAGCGATTCATCGGATCCGGACTACTTGCCAGACGACGATGAGGATCCAGATGACGAAGAGGATCAAGACTATGCCTCCAAGCCAGGGAAACAAGCCCCAACCGACCCCTGTGAACAGATGTAATCACCTAGTGAAGAAGCTGTTGAAGGATCCTGTTGTTGGACATTTAACTTACCGTGGATGGACTTGTTGTATATGTTGTCACTATATATGAGAGCTTTGGGTTCTGGTGATAGAAATACCAATCTATCTATCTTGGAAGTGTAGCTCTGTGCCTCGCAGCGCGGGCTCCGAGTTGACCATCGGCGGATTAAGAGGAAGACTAGGAGGAATACGTCAGCTGTGGGAGGGAAGACATATCGTCCGGGGCGATGCTGAAGATGCCACCACGGGATATCAGGATAGGTGAATCACTCAAACATCCGAAGTTACCAAGTCGACTGCTAGTTAATCACAGAAGCTCCTTTTCTTAGCCTAGCAGAGTGCCAATATGAAGTGGAATGATATATAGTATATGCAACCGAAATTTCGATTCAACACTCGTATGACTCGTGGCAGCTGAGGGCAGGGGGAGTCAACGGAATCCACCGTGCACTGTACTGTACATACCATAGTTTAGTCTGTCGGTCTCATCCGATATTGAGATCTGCCAGACTGAAAGATCAACGCTGCGGGCGCCGGGACAACGGCTCAGCTGGCACTAATCTTAGTGCATATAACTAACCTACGAGCCTTGTGGTTTAGTGCTTACGGTACCTCTCTCTACTGAGCTGAACTATGAATCTACTGTTTTCTTCCCAAGCTCCACCAGGCTCCAAAATAAAGAAGAAGCGACCTGCACGACCCTGCCACTTTCTCGTCAATCTACCACCATTTATCGATCTCCCACCCACGCGACACAATCATGGCCACCAATCCCACCACCAAGCCCCGGGCAATCGTCATAGTCCACGGCGCATGGCACTCGCCCTCCCACTACTCCGACTTCACGACCGCTCTCCGCAAGCGCGGCTACGAGGTCCACGTGCCGCGCCTGCTGACCATGAACGGCGTGCGCCCGCCCAACGCTCACCTCGAGGACGACACTGACCTGATCCGCACCTACGTCGAGAGCCTGGTCGAGGCCGGCCGCGAGGTCATCGTGCTCATGCACTCCTACGGCGGGCAGGTGGGCACCAACGCACTCACGGGCCTCTCGACCGCCCAGCGCGAGGCCCAGGGCCTTTCCGGGGGCGTGAGCCAGCTCGTCTACATTGCCGCCTTCGCTGTGACCGAGGGCACATCGATGATTGATCTCGTCGAGGCGCACGGCCACGGCGAATACATGCCGCTCGCTTTCGACTTCGCAGAGGACAAGACGACCGTCAGTCGGGATCCGAAGGGTCTGATCGTGGGGCCGGGGCGGTCCGACGAGGAGCTCGACGCCTATGTCGCGGCCTTCCGGCCCCATAATGGCGGGGCCTGGTATGAGAAGGTGCAGCGCTGTGCGTGGCGCGAGATTCCGCGGGTGGCGTACATCCAAGCGACGTTGGATATGAATGTGCCGCTTCAGTACCAGAAGGATCTTGTGGAGGTGATGGAGCGGGAGACGGGGAGTCCGGTGAGGACGTTTGAGGTGGAGACCGGTCATTGTCCGACTTTCACGAAGCCGGAGGAGGTGGCGGCGATTGTGCATGAGTTGGCGGTTGGGAATTGAGATGGATAGGGGCGGGACCCTTGGGTGTTTTCTTCGTTGAATGTAGGAGATTAGACTGCTGTTCTGGCGGATTGTTATTGGCGGCCATGTACCATACGATGAAAGGTTGTTGTAGTCTCGTACCCATGTCTCTTGGTCTGTGGTATCCACCCTAGACTCAGTAGACGCAGTAGCGAATGGTCATCAACGTACGTAGCACTGTATATAGTACCCGTGTTAGACCTTGCTGGTTTTCATCTATCATTAGTGCTCCCCGTTAGTGATTACTGTGATATCGCCCGGCCCTGCGACGGACTGCCCCACTATTTACCCATAAGCACCCCCCTCTCCAGCCGAGCTCAAGCCACCCCCGGCGCGGCTATCTCGGGCACTTCCCAGCCGTGATCAGGAAGCGGGCCGCAACGATCGTTTCGATCCACGCGGCGCATGCGGCGTTCGAGAACAAGATTCCACGTGCTGTAGCATATCAGGAACTTATTCTTCGCTTGCTCTCACAGGGAATCCGACGAATGCGTCCAGTTTAGCTTGCTGACTTGAAAAGACAGGTATCGCACATAGAGGGGACGAGGTGCGGCTATGGCATTGGGGACATCATGCTTGCGCGCTGTGGTGGAATCTCATGGGGGGCGCGGCCGGTAAGCCAACCATCGCATCGGAGGAAGAAGAAAACAGAGGGGTGATTTGTTTGCCGATGGACTAGACGAGAATAACAGATCGGTGTAGTTCTGTGCATTTTGACGAAAGGTATTGGCAGGACTAGTCGTCGCTGGGAACGCGGGCCTGACTGACGCCCGCGAGGGGTGGTATTGAGCGTATGGGAGGGATTGGCTCTGGGAAAAAAGTGTAGCACAGACGGGCGATCAAGATCAAGAGTGGAGTGATTCCGGCGATGCCTACCTGGTTGCGTATGGACGTGTTCTGAGTATGGACTAGGGAGCTTTCGCTCGTGAAAAAGGAGCAATAAGACTGACGAGTTGTGTCATGCAAACATGAGGAAGACTGAAGTCGCTGAGCCCAAAGTCGCGTACTGTACCTGCCGCCGCCCAACCCAGCCCACCATCCAAGTATCGCATAAACCACCGCATCGCAACTATCTATGCCTCACAAACAACAGTAAAGAAAACACCCAGAACGGCCGAGTATATACCGATTTCAGGAGGTAAACAACAACCCCATAAGAACCCATGGTTCAGGGTCGACAATTACGTAAAAGTGCTGTGATGACGACTTGATGGCATTCGCTCTATATCACTCAAGCATGCCCCACCACCACCAACAACGTTGACCGGATGGTCGAGTTGGCAGGTCCTCGTGGCCAAGTTGGTTAAGGCTTCACGCTTATAATACGAAGACATTTCATGTATCGTATCGTGACGATCGGCGGTTCGAGCCCGCCCGGGGACAACTTCTTTTTGGTTTTGGGTTGGGGTGGCGACTCTTTCTCCACCCAGTACGTACAAAACCGCCCCTTGTCTCTTTTTTAGCTTCTTTGCATGCAAGACGTGTTTTATTCCTTTGTTTTTTGTCTGCTTTGGTTGTACTATGTTATGTGGTATCCAGGGTCTTGGTGATGTGAAAACTCATTAATATCTGCCGTACTGTAAGGTGTATGCTATGTACGCTTCCATCTCCAACCTATGCCGGTCTCTCTTCCTCCGGACTCTTTACAATTACTCCTCCTTCTCAGAGCTACTACCACCGTACTGTATCGACACCGCCATGCGCTCCAACATCTCCTCCCTCCATCCCCAGCCGAGAGCAAAAGTAGCACCCGGCCCCAACGCAAAATTTGAAGCGGCGCACGCACCGACAGCCTTCCGCCAGGAGAACGTTGCCTCGGACCGCGCCTGCTGTCGCTGCTGCAGCTCCCGGAACCTCAGCGCCAGCCACACGAACCCGCTCGCCATGGAGATGACCTGGTCATACTGCAGGAACCGCGCGATCCCCTGCGGGAACGAGGTCACAGGGGCGAGGTGCTCCGTCAGACCCGGAAAGAAGAGGCTGGCCATGGAGGCGCCCCGGGGCTTAGTGAGGCGCGTGTAGACGAATGTGAGGCCGCTGATGAGGGCGAGGGTGCGGTAGAGGAACCGCACGGTGCGGATGTTTCTCCTGCGCGTCTTACGACGAGCGTCCGGGTCGGCCGGTGGCGGGGCGGGGAAGAGGCGCTTCGCGAGGAGGGCGATCGGGAGCTGGAGGAGGGGCACCGTTACTGGGAAGAGTTGCCATATGGCATTGTACCAGCGTCGGGTTTCGACGGTGCGAGGAATGAAGTTGGCGTAGGTGGTGAGGTGGTAGCTGCCCAGGAGGGAGATCAGCAAGGACCCCGTCGTGGACGGGTCGATAATGCGGTTATGGCCCGGGAGAATGCGACCGAGGGGTGCGGTGATGTATTCGGCTGCGTAGTAGAGAGGGGCTATCAGGCCGATTCCGCGGACTTGGAAGGCAACGCCGGCGGTTATGGGTCTATGGAGACGCAAGGTTAGGTGCTGCTGGGTTGGAATGATTAGGATGCTTACAGTAACACTTTGTACCATGACTCTGCTCCGCGGAGGCTCTCCAAGAGCCAAATGCCATACACCGGGCCCAAATCGGTCATGAATGACAGCATCTGAAGCCGCGAATATGGGTCGGTTCCGCTGATCGAGGGCAGAAAGCAGAGAATCATAGGTCGGAGGAGGTTGTCCAGAAATGGGACGTGGTAGACCGGTTTAGTCAGACTTATGGCCTCACCATTGCTGGCGGTCCAGGTTCCTTGGCTGATTTGTGTAATCAGATATGGCATGAGCTTCTGGATCACGGCCCCCATGGTCGCGCTCGCAGCAGCGTAACAGCCCACCAAAGGAGCAGTCCAAAGAGCTCGCTTCCAGGCCTTATCCGCGGGGGTGTAAGGGTAGCTGTCAGTGTACGGCATGGTGCCCTGCAACGACCTTTCCGGGACTGGCTCGCAGTCGAGCTTGACGGCTCCAGCCATATTCTTGGAGTTGAGATCCATCAGATAGCGGCCAATGTGTGGTAGTACCCTGAGTGCAATGAATTTATATTTTGGGGACGCCAAAGACTCAATGCGAGTCAAATCACCAGCGGCAGAATATATGGCGGGGAGACGAGCAAGTCGGGCTTCCTCCCAGGCCTTCAGACAGCGGTCAATCTCACCGACAGGGATGCGCTCCTCGGTCGAGCTTTGTACCAAAGTGGCTAGGCTATTGGCCAAAGACGCGGCACTCTCGATAGCACTCATCCCGCCCTGGCCCAGGTTGGGGGTCATCTGTGCAACGCAACCAGGTAATCAGCAACACTACCACGCTATAACTAGCTCTCGGCTCAACATACCTTGTGAATCGAGTCACCAATACAGACAAAGCGATCCATGCACCAGTGCTTAAACAGGGCCTCTTCCAGAGGAACCATTGTTCGCGTTATCGTTCTTTGAACCACCTCGGAGAATGGCACGGTATCGGTGACCGGCTTGTCCAGGTAGGCTGCTATGTGCTTTTCGAGATCATCCTGGCTATACCGAGGGGTCTCGTTGCCTGTGTAGACCTGATTCATCTTGGTGAAGAAGAACCAGTAGACGCGCCCACCCTTGCTTGAGATCACCAAAAATGACCAATCCTCGCCATACGTCCGATGAAGAAGCCCCGGTTCCAGTCCCGGGGTTGGCTGCGAGATGCCAAACACACAGTTATACTCGGACTTCATCCCTATACCCCACGAGGGGACGTATCAGTACGGGCTTCCAGTCCCAGAACGGAGGTCGCATACGTGTTCTTTCCTCCGCGATCTCATTGATGAGCCCGCGGGTTTCCATATGGTCCCACATCTGATACCGGATGGTACTCCTGACGCCATCCGCACCCACAACCAAGTCTCCCTCGAAAGTGGTGTTATCTTCACAATGTACCACCACCTTCTCGGGCAGGTGGTCCACTTTTGTCACTCTCTTGTTGAGAAATACCCGGTCTTGCGCAGACCCTAGATGCTTGTGAAGGACTGCGAGTACCGCCTGCCGATCGAGAAATGCTACTGGGTACCCATGTCTGATTTCCCGTCAGCGTGTGATCACATATCACCTCACACACATCGCAGCAGAGATGTTGGATGGGGCGCGCGAATGACCTACCTCTCTAAGACGAGGCGCAGGTCGATCGACTCGTTGATGAGCTTGCCTCTATCGGACCAGATGAGCTCTCTATGGAGCGGCTCCACGAGGTCATAAATGTCGTCGAAAACACCGATCTGATCGAAGATACGACTGCCGTTTGGGCTAAGGCCAATGGATGCACCCACCTGAGGCGCGATGTCATCGTGGGACTCCAAGACAACAAAGTCAATATTGTTTCGGAGAAGGGAGTGGGCAAGTGTGAGGCCAGCGATGGAGCCACCCACTATGACCACGCGGAACTTGGATTGAGAGGTCTTCTCCATGGTGAAGGGGATAAATAGCCCACCTATTGTGTACAGAAAGTGACGACCTGATTTCAAGTAGGTGTGAGGAGAGTGGGCAATGGCAATGTATAAATACTAACACCAATACTACTGTGATAGTTTAAAGGTTCCACTCCCAACACCGGCGGCTTCATTGTCTGCGACGATCGCAAGAGGACAGATGAAGCCCTGTCGAGGAAAAAAGTGGACTTCACATTGCTCTAGATTAGGTAGAGATAAGTTGCGGACGGGCCAGACGAGTCAAGCCAATGAGTGTTGGAGTCTGGTCTGCACGCTAAGGGGGAATGGCAGAAGCTGCGTGTCCACCGCAACAAATAGCAACCACCATCGCACTCCGAAACCCCATTTTGCTGTCACGGCGTGATTATCGCACCCATTCAAGAGGCATCACGTTTTCCCCACAATACCCAAATACAACATCGTAATTTCGATATGCCGAAGAGTGCTCGAGCTCCCTTGAGCCCAATCATGTGAGTTGGCCCGGCCTTACCGACGGTAAGATGGCGGTGATTTCCGCACCTGGGCGTCAGTGAGATCCAGACATTATGAGACATCAAGAGGCACTGAGAGACTCGGGTCACCATCCGCAAACGGACAACGCATATTATGCGCATTCATTTTCAATGTTCTCATTGCTGACAGTGGTGGCAGAACTCTATTCCGCGAGAATTCACGCTCTGATGATTGGCTGTGTACACAATGGAATCCCAACCGTTGGGTAGGCCGCCTTGCCGGTAGATACAATATGCATGTCGACCGTTGTCCGAGGGGGGAGCGGGAACGAATGGACGAAGCATAGCCCATCAGCCGTGCAGCACTAATGTAGAAGTATCCCTGAACCCCGCCTGGGCGACGTGCGGCTGTGGTGCTGAGGGTGAAATGTGACTGGGTGGTTCGGGTGCCAGTGCCCACATGGTTTATCCGCACTTGGCATCCAGCTCGCGAGGCTGGGGGAATGTTGCTCTGGCTCATGGTGAGTGAACCTTATTCTCATTGTACGAGTCGTCTGTTCGTCTAGATGTGGGGACTCAATGCTGCCAAACGTAACTATCATGATGCCAGGTCAGCACGGGAGAATAGCAAAGAGGTTACTTTTAATGTGAGCAATATCGGGTTAAGCGAGTTGCACATGTTGCTGCTTAGGGGGTCTTCTAGAGGTTCAAGGTTTCATGGATAAGGCCGAGTGCTGCTATCGAGGACTGATAATTTTCGGTCTTGATGACAGCCCACACATGCACTGACATCAATTGGCCGGATGGTGTAGTTGGTTATCACGTATCGTTAACACCGATAAGGTCCTGGGATCGAGCCCCAGTCTGGTCATCTCTTTTTGCACCGACAGGTATTGTCGTGCTGACATCCATGCCGTGTTGCTGGTATTCCTTTGTCCTTTTTTTGTATATAAAAGAATGCCATCACACATACAATCTAGAGGGGCACCGGAGATCGAGATTATCAACAGATAGTCATACAATGTTATAGTAACAGTACGATGCCCATGTTCACGCCTTGCTGGTTTTGATGTGAGCTACTCACTCGTGCTCTATTGTCCTCACATGTTCAAACAATTCAATCTGCTCACATTGAAAGCTGCGCGCTGGAGGGGAGTGTTGCTTTGACCATGCCAGTTCTTTGGGCCACATCTTGCCTTGTAGATTGCCTCAATCTTGAGGGTAAAAGGAGTACCAGTAACAGTGGCAAGCCTGGATGTGCAAAAAGAGATGACCAGACTGGGGCTCGATCCCAGGACCTTATCGGTGTTAACGATACGTGATAACCAACTACACCATCCGGCCTTCTTGTTAAAACGGCTCTCTAATTTGTTAAACACGGCAAAAGATAAAAGACACTTGTCGTCTTCGAGGCAGCCATAGATATAGTGTTGTGGTAGCTTTAGCAAGTTTGTCATTATTCTTTCCAGACCATGTCTTTTAGCTTTCTACTTTAATCACACATCCCGATCGTGAAGTATACCAACTAGAAGCTCCCTACGTCACAGGTGGGTTGTGACTCGGACCCATGGATGGGAGGCATATATATCTTCCGCACAGGATCCTACTCTGCAGTCCACGGTGTGAGCTACGATGTCCCGGAGAGATACAGGCGCAAATCACCCCACGCATGATCGAAGAATGACATGACGCCGACATCAACCACCAAAAGGAGCACAGATGTGGCCCAAGCACCAAGACAACACCGAAAATCAAGATACAACTACCCCGGTGCCTGCCCGAGAACCCCCCTCCGACCCATTCAAGCAATGTAGACCCACGCAGCTAAGACACCGGAGCCCGATTCTAGCATACAATAGCAGGCGGACAAAAGAGACAGAGATATCGATGTCATATCGCGACCACATAACCTCGTACACAGCGAAGGCAATATGTAGCTCCGATAGACCACCCGCAACGAAAATATGAGTCGCTGTATGAGCCAAGGTACCGCAACGATACTTAACCATGAGTAGTTCGACCTAGGAAAGCCAGACCTGAATAGGGACAAGCATGGGAGCTAGAAGCCGAAGGCATATATACTCCGTAGGAAAGCCACACGGAAGCAGTGAAGTGAAGTGCTTATCTTGCAGCACCGATTGCTGCTTGGCTATTGGAAGACACAGCATAGGATACGTTATTCTCATAACTACCTCCGATATAGTGTAACGGCTATCATACCTGTCTTTCACACAGGAGATCGGGGTTCGATTCCCCGTATCGGAGACATCCTTTAAATCTTTTTGTCATTTTTCATTCTTTTGACATATCTGCAAGAAGTTCACAATGTCTCACCACTGGACCGTCAAGCCAAAGCGCGCAACACTAGAACAAGTCACCAGGAAAGGAAGGTTCATCCAGTCGCGGCCTACTCCCGGTCGGACCTTCCCATTTGGTAGACCAATATCGGACTCCGGGAATGAGTGCCGCATTCCCCACAGACAGCATCCCCAAGCAACGGAGAGCAGGTGCACACCTGCGGGCTCCCTCTTTCATCACCTTTAGTCGATAGAGAATGTTACAACGCCACCCCACGTACCACAATTCATGACAGTTTTTAAGTGGATTAATAGACTACATACAGTACATGAAAACAGATGCACAGTCGTGATATTGACATAATCAGAGAGGTAAGGAAAAATACAAGAATCGTCAATATGACGCCGGATATAGCGCCACCAGGAACAAGCACAGTGAAGTAGGATGGTGGGCCAGATATAGCAGTGGTCCGGCACAAGGCAAGGAGAGTCAGTATGTGAATGAAAGGAAGGGTATTTGATGAGTCGTCAAAATGTCGAACAAAGCAGTAGGTATCATGTGGTAAATCCCGGGAAACGCGCGCAATCTTCAACTATCCAAGGTATTAGGAAACTCTGCCGGCAAAAATGTCGCACAAACTCGCTAATCTGTAATAGAATATCGCCCCACCAACCAGCGTCGGGGTGACGATATGAGAATCGAACATGGCATCTTTTGGTCGTTTGGGTCTTTTCGGTCTCTCTCCAGAACTCGTAGAATGTGGCCTGCGATTTGCTCAATCGATCATCATTCGAGTAGGCACCTGGCCAGAAGAGATGTTGGAGGACAGCTCCGTCGTCTTGCCCTCTTTATTCTGCGTCTTCTTCTTGTGTACATGTTGCTTCAAGCCTTTGTGGAAGTTGTGCATACACACACAGGCGTTGATAATGGTGATGACGATGAGCACAAGGGTGATGACGGCGAAGAATGTCAAAGAGCGCCGAGCAGTCAAGTATAGGTCATAAGTACCAGGCTGGTACATCCGGACTAGCTTGAACAAGAAATAGGCCATGGCCGCGAAGTAAAGGAGCTAGCGAAATGATCAGCTGATGATCTGCGGAGCTTAACCGAGTACCGTTGAAACATACAATGACAACAATCATGCCAATCGAACTTTCGCGCCGTACGAAGAAGGCCGCGCAGATCAGAATTATAATCGTCACGGGAATGGCAGCTAGTGTGAGGGCGAATTCTATGTCGGTCCTATTCGTGACGATAACGACGAATTGAACGGTGAAACCAAGGAAGAAGAAGAAGTCGAATTTCAGAAGCGAGATATAGATCTAACATGATTGTAAGCATGGGCGCCGCGCGTAACCCTTATACGAGCACATACCTGATAAGTCAGATACCGGCGCTTCATTCGCAGATCGGCGCTGATATGTTTGTAGATAGACCATGCGAACTCGTCGTATAGTTTCCAGGCAACGATCACCATCAAGATTGAACCCATAGCCACGACGCAGGGGATGATGATAAGGAAAGGCTCTGTTTCTCCCCAGACATTTTCCGCAATAGCACCATTGTCCCAGAGAATTTGTACAGCATCGCGAATTTGTTGCACCTGCACGGCCCCGTAAATCAACAACCCGATATTGCACATGCACAGTCCGATAACCTGAATAGTGTTCTTAAGGCGTAGCGCATCGTAAACCAGAATCAGCTCATAGATGAACCCGAAGCTATAGAGGGCTAGGAAGGTTGGAATAGGTTTTGAGGCAGTCGTCGTGGCGGCCGATGGGAGCAATTGGACCTGGAAATTGACGAAAATATAACTTTTGCGAAAAGATTAGCTTCGGACCCGACAGTCTGAACATGGAGACTATTTGCACATACCACTCCAGGGCGAGGGTAATGATCGTTTGGACAAGGGTGACAATGCAGAAGGACCACGTCCACAGAGAATTGGGGCGGTACATCCTGTGTCGCTTTGGGGGATCCGGAGGAACGTTTGTGTATCCTTCCCGTCCACGAAAACCACGCCGAAAGGACGGATCAAAAGAGCCCCCCAGGAGGGAGGCCCGCGATGTGTTGGAATAAATTTTGACGAAGTGCTCCGTGACGGAGCTGGTGTCCGTCGGAGGATCGGGATCTGGATACAATATGCTGGTTTCACCACCAAATGGCGGCGTTTTTCGTTTCGGGAGAAGATCGGAAAGTCGGAGGTCGAGGTGACGATGAGTGCTGTTTTGGCTGTCGCGATCCCCAAACTCTCAGATATGTCGCTTGGCCTGAAAAGACTCTAGGTGGTTCAGGAGGTGAAATCTCGATAATGACCGAAACGGTGACGATAGGATCCCAGGCGCATAAGCCACACCAAATCCCCTGAAAATCAGCCTAGACCAGATGGAGGACAGTCCAGGAGGCTGGGCTGCGAGTGGAAAGGAAAGCGTCGAGATCTCTAGAGGCGATGTGTTTGGTTACTAGGCCGCGTGAGAAAAGTCGCGACGGAGATTTGGCGGGGAGGCTCAGTCCGGTGGTCGATGGCTCGGGACTGGTGGAGGACCAGGCTGGCTGGGTGTAAGGCTGAGCACATGCAGGGTCACGAGTCAGGTTGGTGTGTCGGTTTCAGCCGGGAATGAGGGGGGTGTGGGTGGGAGGGAGAAAGAAAACGAAAGACTAGTTGTGAAAGAGAGACTGATGGGTTGAGAAACGAGTGTTGGAGGAATAGGAAGGAGAAGAGGAAGAGGTGCTGAGTGTTGAAGATGAGGGACAGGTGGAGGACAACAGAAGACGGGGGGGGGACGATGGGGGGAAGAAAGGGAAGTCTGAGCCGCAGTGAGGAGGAAACAACGAGGCGAAAGAAGGGAAGAGGAGGAAAATGTATTATTACGAGTACGAAGATACTTACTTTTTTACCTTTGCCGGTCGGGCGGGCAAAGAAGAGAAGCAGCCAAGCGGAAGATGTCCAGCTGAAGTTCCAGACGCAACGGAAGGGTCAAGTGTCCGATTCAAAAGGGAAACTGCAGGGACGATCCCCAAAGAATAGAACAGAGAGGGGAGAGAGAAAGGAAGAAAGGAAGAATCACGGACAGACAGACGGACAGACAGACGGACAGACAGACAGACAAGCAGATAGACAGACAGAAAAAGGAATCCAACTGAATGGGAGAGTTTCCACTGTTCCAGTGCTCTCTTCCCCACCGGACGGACACCACCGACAACAAATGCGACCAAGAAAAATAAATAGCCTTAACCGGCGACAGTTAACGGTATGAAGTTAAGTTAGCTGGAATTGTGTTGGATTATCCATTGAGGAGTATCCCACCCTCAGTTCTAAATTTGTGGTGCTTAATCTCGCTGTTGACTCGCGCACGGGAACTTTTTAATTAGAATCTTATGTTGTCTTATGTCGCTCTAACACCTCTCAGGAGTTCTTGGTATTCGAGCCACGGCAGGTCCAGTCTTGGCTAATTATCCTTTGGATAATTTACGCAAAAAGTACTCCGTACGTATGGAGTACTTCGCAGAAAAGAGTAGAGTAAGATGGCGGTGGTGGCTAGTAATCTTAGGATTCGTACGTAGAAATAACCCGTGCCTGAGACTAACTCAAGGGAGAAATAAACTAGCCTCGATTACTCCTGAATTGTCGCGTTGCAGGCGTTGCAGTGGGGTGGGTCGGACCCATGCGATGGGCTGGCTGTCTGCCTGCTGCGAACTTTTGAAACCAAAATTTCGCCCGGGGGATGGACGGGGGCCAGATTCCATGGTTCAATTTATGCATCTTTCTCCTCCCCTCCCCCCCCGGTTTCTGCCTGACCTGGACCGGCAAGAATGTGCCGAACGTCAATGGGAAAGAACCGCTGCCACTTCAGCTGTCAATTGAATCGAACCATTGAGTTGATGGGAGATACATCTGAACACTCGAAGAGGGATAGTTGGCTATTACAAGGCCAATCACTGGAAGCAATAATGTAGCGCAGTGGTTCCGTTCCCATTGAAAGATAAGATGGTATTCTCGCCTGAGGCAGAAAGAAACCAACAACCCTCATTGTTGATTCGATCACGGAGTACTGGGGAGGGCTACGTACTCTTCTACCTAGCCTGCCACTCGACTAGTCACTCAGTACCTTGCCTTGCCTGCGTACTTGTTGCTGTGTAGGGTATTATCCCACCACTGGGATGCGAGGAGGTAGCTAGCTGTTCGGGCTAGAGAGAGGCCGAATGCTGCTACGTACTGGAACCGTTCAAGGAGAGAGAGAGAGAGAGGGTTGGGTTGGGTGCAGGAAACAAGCCACAACCCACAGCTACCGTGACCATGCGGTGACCCTGGTGTGGCATAGTGTGGCTATTTTAGTGCCTCCTTGCCGTTCCCTTCAGGTGGCTGTCCGTCCACTCGGAGGGAAGACTCGGTCTTTTGTGAAACAGCGGTCTTAACAGATAAATTTCCAGCAGTTCTTCTCTGACAGGCTAGATATAGTCTACGTAGTACTTCGTATACTGTGTAGGATCCATCGCCATGGTGACATCTGATTCATATATACCCTACTGTACTCCGTAAATCAAGCACTATTCCCTGATGGGTACCGGCTTATGGGTGACAGGATCGTTAGCCTTTAAACTCGAGCTTCGACATGGTTCCCAGTTCTTTATCCCGCACCATCCAGATCCTAGACTGAATTAGTAAAGATTTCAGCGGGTTGTTGAATAGACAGTGAGCGCGGTGCTTTGCATCTACTAGACACTTAGGTGCAGATACTGCAGTAAACCAAAGGGACTTGCCCGTAGTTGTGCGTTCAGGAGAGAGTCGATTCTTGGGTTGGTGTCGGTGGCATAGTCCAAACTGTGATGCTTTCGACACTTGAAGCATATATCTATGATGGGATCATGAGAAAGCGACATGACACCAATAGATGATGCAAGATAGCGAGTCAGATGTCCCAGAGATGATAATTGAGGTACAGTTCAAAAGACCAAAGGTGTAGCAGTGCTCAGGGCTTTTCACACCGCCTACCTTGGGAGGGCTCATTTGCCGAGAGAATATCAGTTTCCCGCGGTTTTATTGGAGGAGATGGGGGCGGTACACGGGAGCACGGACCACATCACGGAGCTGCGGGCTGAGAATTTCGGCTCCCACTGTAAAATCGAGGGTAAAACGACAGCAAAAAGAGATGAAACTTGTGACTCCGATACGGGGAATCGAACCCCGATCTCCTGTGTGAAAGACAGGTATGATAGCCGTTACACTATATCGGATCTAGTTATTAAAAGCTGAGAGTTTTTGCTAAGTATTCTTGTGTCTATGAATGTGAATGAACTGATTGACTGCTTTCTCGCAATCGATTGCCGCCCGGCAGAATTGTATGTGACGGTAACCCGCCAAATGGAAACGTGAGCGTGGCCTCTTTCTGGCAACCCGCACCTTCACCTCCCCCGACCTTCTGCCATCCACCTCGTCCTTCTTCTCCCCAGCCGACTTCTTTCCTTGTCCCATCGGCCAATTGACCCATCTATCTCTTTGTTCCTCAACTTTAATATTATACTTGCTTTTTTGCTTTTTAGCCCTTTCTTGATTCCACTTTCATAATGGTCAGTGCCTCGTCCTGCCCGTTGTCTCAGCGCGCACCTCAATTGTCCTTTGCGCGAGCTGGATGATCTCCCCCAAGCCGACCGCCGCTTTTCACATCAGCCATTCGAATTGAAACTGACCTCAGTGCTATAGGCTTCTCCTCGTGCTGCTTCTCCCCTGACCTCCGGAGCTGAGTCCGGCCCTGACTCCAAGTCTGCCGGCGCTGGCTCCGGTGCCTCTGCCGTCTCCTCCGTCAACCGCCCTTCCTCCCCTACTCCTCCTGGTGGTCCCCGGGCTGCTTTGCGTCGCCGCGCGGCCGCTGACCACAAGGAGTCCCTCCGCAATGCCCGACCCAGCTCGACCCGCGCTGCCGGTGCCGGTGGTTCTTCTGGCACGATGCTGAAGCTCTACACCGACGAGAGCCCCGGCTTGAGGGTCGACCCCGTCGTCGTCCTGGTTCTCAGTCTGGGATTCATCTTCTCCGTCGTTGGTCTGCACGGTACGTTCCACCCATCCCTCAAGCATCAACCCGAAGAATCAACCGCTGACCGTTTCCCCCTATTCTACAGTCATCGCCAAGATCACCCGCAAGTTCTCCTCGTAAATTAGCCCCCAAACGCCATCGGTTCACCGTCAGACACTCTTCGACCCGGATCTTCTTGATACGCAGCACGCTATCAATCGGTGAATTCCATCCGGGGCCCGCGAGATTGGTTGGCTTGGGCTGAAACTCCGACCGAGAGAATCAGATCGTCGCATTATTTACCACCTTCGAAATCATATACCCCCCCTTGGTGTCCCCCCTTTACCCGTTATTTTCTGCGTGCGCCGGTGATGGAGACATCTTTTCGCGACACACGCATTTTTGACCCAGCGCGCTTTTGTATTTTGTCCGGATTCATACCTATCTGCTGCATAGGGTGGAAAGGGACATGCTCGGACAAGCAGAGGAGAATTCCACAAGGGAAAGACAGAGAAAGAGAGAGAGAGAGAGAGGGAGAGAGAGACTTGGAATGAAATGCATATGTGTAATTTTAGTGCTTATCAATGAAAACGAGTTCCGACCAAACGGTTACTGTTCACACCAGCGTACCCAGCGGAAGAACCGAATCCATCGACCCACGCTATGAAAAACAGACTTGAGATCCTGCGCATAGAGGATAAGAATGCGAAGCAGATAAGGGAAGGTTCCGGCACCCGGGGACACTGAACCTGTGGGGAGAGACCTGGTTAGCGAAGCAAAAGACAAAACAGGAGAAGTAAGGCGACAGAGATAGAGAGCCATGCTATATACATGCTGGCAAAGGCTATCATGCTCCACGAATGTGAGGAACCGAATTACTACCTAGTAGCCAGTGCCTTTCAGAGGCAGCTTCTTAAGACCCCGATAGGCTTCAGAGAATATAGTATACTAGTAGCACATGCAGTACTTGACTTCTACCTTGAGCTTGCATCTAGCTTCTATACGATCTGTCAGCCCACTGTACCTGCAAGCAGAGCAAGCGTTCCTCGGGTCTAGGCGGTCCAAGGCTTCACAGATGAGCTGCTGCATACACATCTTGGGCTGGCGCTGTCCCCGTCTCAGCGTCTTGGACCTCGATCCATCTCTGGTCTTAGCCTTGTAGCCTTAGAGAGCAAGCGAGTCATGGTGAGAAAGAACGATGGAAGAAAATGTACAGAAAGGATTTTTTTTTTACATTACTATAACATTTCTCAAGGTAAATCAAGGTCTAGATAAACGGCCACCGTCTAACCCACGAGCGAAGCTAAGAATCCGAACCGATCAACGCCCGTATCTCCGCCGCCCGCTTCACCACCGCCTCTACATCCTCCACCCTCGGCCCCGGCATGGAGGAGACATACCCCTGATAGGTCTCCTGGAACGGCTCGCTGATGCCGTAGCGGTCGTAGTCGTCCTCATCGTAGTCATCACCGCCGCCGCCGCGGATGGGCACCAGCTTGACGTGCGCGTAGTCGATCTCGAACCCCTCGAAGATCATCCCGCAGCGCTCGATCCCAAACGCCCGGATCAGCAGCTTCGCCACCGCATGCGCCGCCTCCACCAGCCCGGCATAGTCCTCGGGCGACAGCGAGAAGATGTCGCTCGACAGGTGCGCGCGCGGCACCACCACCGTGAACCCGGGGGTGTTGGGGTACGGCGTCAGGAAGGCGACGTGGCGCGCGTCCTCCCAGACCCGCCACTGCGGGGAGAGTTCCCCGCGCACGATGCGCGCGAAGAGGTTGGCGTCGTCCGGGTCCGGGCCGTGGAAGGTGTGGTCGGCGTGGTAGGTGGTCGGGGACTTAGATGCCGCGAACAGGATGGAGCTGCGGATGGTGTTGAGCTGCGGCGTGGGCAGCGGCGGCGCGTCTTTCGAGGTGATGTACCCCGGGTACTGCGGGTGGAATTCCTTGGTGGGGTGCGTGACCGGGGTCCATTGCGGGGTGAGGCCGTGGAGCGGGAGGATCGAGACGCTCGCTCCCCCCGTGGTGATCAGGGCGCAGCGCTGGACATTGTATGCCTTGCGGAGGTGGGAGGCGATGGTGCGGAGCGTTTGGAGGGTTTCCACGAAGGTGGGCGGGGGGAGGTTGAAGAGGTTGGTTTGGTTCGTGGTGAGCGTCGCGACGGTGTGGCCTGGGGTGGTGGGGCGGAGGGTGAGGTTGACGGCTAGATGTGCGTCTTGGTAGATCGTCGTATTGGGAGTGTGATCGTCGGCCATGTTGGTGATTGTGATTTTGATCGCGGTGGTGTTCATGTTGGGTTGGCTTGTTAGGGGGGGGGCATTGGAATGGTGTAGTGTATATCTGGCTGCTTGGTAGCTTCGGGGTTAGTGCTGATTGCGTGTCATGCCACCTTTTCCTCGATCGCGCCGTCTTTCATTCTAACCCCTGAGCGGTTCTCCCACGGAGAACGTGCTGGGCCGATGTTGGGTGCATGAACTGGACATGAGTTCGATCCCAACAATTTTTCTTCCAGTTGCAATGGCATGAGCATTGGGCTGTTTGACATAGCTCGCTAATTGCGGTGTTGTCGGATCCAGAGGTGAATGATGCCTCATTAGTATGGACAATGCAGTCATTGAGGGCCAAACCATCTCAAGTAATGTCCTATGTGTACCTCACCGGTAGTTTCTAGGTGCCTGTTAACACGGGCACTGCAGGTTGATAAGATACCTCCTGGCACAGTATATGGGCGTGACCAATCAGGGGTCTGTATGCAGCTGCAAGGTGATCGCTCCGAAACTCCGACTAAGGGACAGGGTCCACGGACGGACACTCAGTGTGTGGATGAACTGCCTAAGGACGCTAGGCTTGAATTTGACTCTCGACTAGTCGGCCGGGATTCTTCCAATCGCCTACTAGCCGTTGGAGGATTCAAGAGGGAACATCATGGGTTCATGATACACCCGTGTACTCCGTAGTTTCCTTCCCTTTCACCGCATTATCAATGCGACTGATGTCTTCATCGCTGTGGTGAGAGAGGCCATACATATTCAAGAAATAACAGTGCAGACACTGCCAGATTTATGCATCTGCAGTCTTTCATCCTCCCTGAGTTTTCCTAGGCTTCCGAGGCCAACTAGGATGATGCAGCCAGCTATCATGGTCGCACTCCCAGAATTGTGATTATGCATTGGTGGCTATCATGTTGCAGGCAAGCTCGCGGCAACTTGTCAGAGTCCTGGGATAGTAAGTTGAGTATCCTCTGGTAGTCAAAAAATATCAGTAAAGACAGTTATGAATACTCGAAAAAAAGCATAAGATGACTTACACTCAGCAGGGTATAAGTACTGAACGTCTTCGCACATTCTGGCTGGTACGTTCAACAGAAGGCGGATTTGCTGATCTTTCTGTTACTAGACTGTAATAGAGATCAAACATAAGGGGATGGGACTTACGCAGTGATATAGAGAATCACAGTTAGCTGTGATGAGCAGCAATACTCCCCCCATCACGATTCTCAGACAACTCATTGCTCTCCTGCTCCAGTGCCACATAGCGTAGACGAGAAACCGCGGGTCTGCGGACCTTCACAATAAACGCCATTGGAATCCTCCTCCTCATCAAAATATGGCTCAATCATTTTATCTGGAAAGGCCATGCCTAAGTCTAGCGACTTAGATGTCCAGAGTCGAACAAACAGATTGTCAAAGGGTGTCCAGTTCCGTCCCAGGGCTCAGCCCACTTTAGCAATACGCGGTTGAGTTCGCGAAGTGCTATACGGGCTCCCCAGTTCTATATATCCATCGGACCTTGAGCCTGGAGAGAAGGGCCTGGTAGGAAATCTGGAAGGTGTGAGACTACGACCAGGGTTGACGTATCTAAAACTCATGGGCCGTGTAAGTTGTCAAGGGGCTGTACCACTCAATACCCCTGCGGTACGGGAGCTTTCTCAAGGATTCCCCAGAGAGAAAGAAAGAGCGAAGAAGAGATAGACAGAGTTGTTGAAGAAGAAAGATTCGCAGGAAGGCAGGAGAAGAGAAAAACTTGAACATAGCTTACCGGGTTGAAGCCCTAAACCTCGATTTGCGCAGGAACTTCACATCCTACACTACGAAGAACCAGTGACAAATACCAATGACTTTGCGATATATTCGATACTTATGTTTCAACAGGAATATGCAAAGGGCAACGGCCTATCTCAAGATCCCACAGCCTACACTATATATGGCCCTGCAGGGAATGCATGACAAACTAGGAGGGCATCTCGTGAGATGTGAAAACCTCGTGGGAAAGAGATGCTTCACGAAGGAAGGGTGTCGCGGAGATTTGGGAGTGGGAAGCAGCGCCAAGGGGGCGGAGCTGTCTATTCAATGACTTATAGTATTGTTGCTAATCACCTATTCTCCCTTCGCGGAACTCCTTTTGTGGATGTCTGCGGGTGGTACTACGTGGTAGTTACTACCTAGTAGGTCCTGGTATGCAGGGACCGCGTGGGTTTCCCCACGGCCACAAGCACGGTGCCCAATTCATTAATGGTAAGATCGAGTAAGCGAGTAAGCGAGTAAGCAGATTGATATCTCTTTCAAGATTAGACAGGTAGTCTTAGCATCAACAAATCACTATTGGGCATATGCTTTCATGGCACTGTCCTTGCTTATCTCCCAGTTTCCGGCTTCTTATCACCTTAAACTCCCACTGTACCTCGCATTGGCCAATGGCGGGGGGCCCTCGCTGACCTCCGCTGATAAGAAATGCTCTCCCGGCCAATGACAGGACCTTGCGGTGCTATCAAAGATAGAGTGGATCTGCAGGAAGTCAAAATACTTCATGGATCCCACCCGTCTCCACGAAAAAGATGCGGCATGAACAAGCCAGAGCTGCTGGGTCTAGCTCGTTTAAGCGAGATTCAGTGTTTGTTCTGGCTCCCCGGCCTTGAGCTGCTGCCCCATTACGAATTGATAGCGATGCCCTCGTCTTATCGATGACTCTTTGTACTCCGCGAACCTGCGCTCAGATCCAATTGCAGCGACTGAACAGGCCTTTATCCGCCATCATGATCCTGTTGATCAAGATGTGGCTGCGAGGTCGGAGATTTTGCCATATGCCGCTGGCCTATATGATCTCTTACAGCTCGTCCATTTCCGGTGGACTTTCCAAGCACATTCTCAATCAAGAAGCACACCGAAATTTGGGGAGACAACAGAGAACACTCGCTTCGCCATAAATACAACCTTGGCGAGGAACGTCACCATGTCTTCGGACACCGTCAGTTTCACAGCCCCCCTTTCCCAAGGGTTTGGCTATGGTATCATCGTAGGGCTGGGCTTTGCCTTTGCCTTACTGATGATTTTCATTACGTGGGCCTTGAAGAGGTATTGACCCGAACTATGGCTCAATTGCACCTACTTTTGACAGCCAAGCTAATGTAGCCCCACAGGTACCAGCATGAAGTACAAACATCGGAAATGTTCTCGACTGCAGGAAGATCCGTCAAGTCGGGGCTGGTTGCAGCAGCTGTCGTCAGTAGTTGGACCTGGGCCGCAACCCTTCTTCAGTCGACTACAGTAGCCTATGAATATGGCATCTCAGGTCCATTCTTCTATGCCTCAGGTGGGGAAAATCAAAAGACCAAGCATTGACTGCTCACTAATATTTTGTTAAGGTGCTACTGTCCAGATCATTCTCTTCGCAACGCTGGCAATAGAGCTCAAACGCCGTGCTCCAAATGCGCACACCTTCTTGGAGGCCATCCGTGCCCGTTATGGTACTACCGTCCATATCGTCTTTACTGTCTTCTGCGTGATGACCAATATCCTGGTTACATCCATGCTTCTCACCGGCGGCTCTGCCGTCATGACTTCTCTTACCGGGGTTCACACGGTTGCAGCCTGCTTCCTCCTGCCGATCGGTGTTGTGCTATATACTCTCTTCGGTGGTATCAAGGCGACGTTCATTACAGATTACATGCACACCGTGGTAATCATTGTCGTCATCTTCATCTTCGCCTTCTCTGCCTATGCCACAAACGATAAGCTCGGATCCCCTGGCGCCGTGTATGAGGCACTAGTTGCTGCATCGAACCGCCACCCCGTGGACGGCAACGCAGAGGGAAGCTATCTGACTATGCGGTCCAAGGAGGGTGGCATTTTCTGGGTGATCAACCTCGTGGGCAACTTTGGGTTGGTCTTTCTGTATCCCAGACGTCCAGTCAATCGCTAACTCCCCCCCGCAGTACTGTCTTCCTCGACAACGGATACTACAACAAAGCCATCGCAGCAAGCCCCGTGCACGCCTTCCCCGGCTATGTCATCGGCGGTCTCTGTTGGTTTGCTATTCCCTGGCTCTGCGCCAGCACGATGGGAATGACCGCCCTCGCTCTTGAGGGCACCCAGCGCTTGAGCTCGAGCGACGTGTCCGCCGGACTTGTGCTGCCCTTTGCTGCCGTCAAGCTGCTCGGCTACAGCGGCGCGGTATGCACCACGATCATGATCTTCATGGCAGTGACCTCCGCCTTCTCGGCCCAACTGATCGCCGTCTCCTCCATCTTCACCTACGACATCTACCAGGGCTACATCAACCCCGAAGCCAAAGGCAAGCGTCTGGTCTGGATCTCACACATGACTTGCGTGGTCTGGGCCATCGCCATGGCTGCCTTCTCCACTGGTCTCTACTACGCCGGAATCAGCATGGGCTACCTGTACCTGTTGATGGGAGTCATCATCTCCTCCGCTGTGTTCCCCGGCGCCATGACCTTGGTCTGGAAACACCAGAACTGGATCGCCGCGGCAGTCTCCCCTCCGTTAGGTCTAGCCGTCTCCCTCATCGCGTGGCTCGTGACAGCGAAGAAGGAATACGGGGTCCTAACCGTCACGACGACCGGCTCCAAGTACGTTCCCTCCGCACTCCCCCCAACAGAAAAAAAACCCCCTCATCCAAAGAACCAAGAACTAACCTAACCCAGCTACCCAATGCTGGCCGGCAACGTCGCCGCCCTCCTAAGCCCCATGGTCTTCTCCCCCGTCCTAACCCTACTCTTCGGCTCCCAGAACTACGACTACGAGAGCATGCGCGCCATCCGCAAGGTGGATGACACCGACGTCGCCGCGGCCGCCCACGTCGACCTGGAGCAGATCCCCGGCGAGGTGGCGGCCCGCACCGCGGCGCAGGAGGAAGAGGAGACGCGCAAGCTCAACCGCGCGGCCTTCTACTCGCGCTCGCTGACCGTCGTCATGGTGTTTTGCTTTCTGATCCTGTGGCCCGTGCCCATGTACGGCAGCTCCTACGTCTTCAGCAAGAAGTTCTTCACCGGCTGGATCG